AGGGCGACGAAAGAACGGTACTTGATTGTCCGCACGGTGGATTTTGGTATCACAATTGCGACCATTCTGAAGATGCCGGAGTACGATGTGGTATTAACCCACCATCGACGTTTTATCAATTAACCAATTAAAAACAAGACGTCCATGAACCTTAATTCCCAAACTGTATATAATTAATTAGAACTTATACAGAACTAAAACATGACGGGATCGATTTTTTTCATAGACTCCTGCGTCAGCAACCCTTGTGCGAATGGGGCAACTTGCACAAATGTGTTGGATGGATTCATCTGTTCGTGCCCGACTGGCTACGACGGATTGACATGCGCAGATGGTAAAACAATCGTTTTAAGATTCTTGCCAAGTAGGATAAAACGTCTACATCAAACGAAACAAAATAAGCATTTGTATTTTGTACGTTGTTAAAAAAAGGTAGTCGAATTAAGGATTCTCCTCCATCTTTTTAGAAATCTCAACGTATTTATAATAATCTAATTCGGCTAAACGTCTATTTCAATTTTGATGGTCAACGAAATTAAATCATTGTACAACATCTTGGTTTTGAACAGTCGCCCACTGAACGCCTTCACGAGACCCCTCAGGCGTTCTGATGGTGACATCAGGCCAGCAGTCTGAATACCTTCCTGGTGACTCGGTTGAGTATGACTGCCCGGATGGATATCATCTCAGTGGGTCTGTCAGTAGGATTTGTCAGTCCGATTTCACCTGGTCAGGGCAACGAGCCGAATGCCACTTAGGTTAGGTCCATTTGACGTTTGTTTTCAGACTGATACTGCTGTTTATTTCAATCTAGACGGAAACACTGTTAGTTTTATACACCGACTTCAATTCAACCTGTTTTACAAATTTTTTCCCTAAATTTCACAGTGAAGAGTTTATTTTTGTTGCTTTACTTTCGGATCAGGCTCTTACGGTTCTCAGCCTTTTTCTTTCTGTTTTTTTTTAAATTTCACGCCGACAGTGAGGGTAACAGAAATTGGAAACATTGTTATTTTGCAGTACTTCGCGTGAACTAAATGTTTTCAATTTCTGTTACCCTTTTAGGATTAATTAATGTTTCAGTTTTAGGAAAAAAACGAATTTTCATTTTAAACAAGAAGAATATTACTACCACGTTCTTTTATACATTTGTGTCAAAGTAAAGCGACAATCATGAGAGATACTGGGTTGTCATACAACTTTTTGGCCCACAGAACTTTGTTCAAGTGGACCATGCGAGAACGGAGCAACCTGTACCAATGCACCGGGCAGTTTTACTTGCCTCTGTCCAGACGGCTACGGTGGGCCGACATGCTCGGACGGTATGATAATCATGTTCTTATTCTCTTCATGTAAGTTTTCAATCAACTGTAGACCTAAATATATATGCTGTTGCCTGGACCGTTCATGTGCCTGCACGTGAGGTTTTTACACACTGGGAACAAAAAGCAGAGGAAAAATTATTTTGAAAACATGGACAATTAGGCCCTAAGCTTTCAACGTCTTGGAGTCATATATGAGTGCAATGAAAATTTAAAAACTTTTAAAAAAAACTCTTGTTCTGAACAGTTACTTAATGTGTGGTCATCCTCAGCTAAATATTAGCATTTATAAAAACAACCAAAAAGTCACTCATCAAGCGGGAAACAGTCTACATTTTTCAAAATAAACGGTGAAGTTCATTTACCAAATCATACTATTTCTTCCAGTTTTGGCAGCTAAGGAGAAGATCTCCGGTCCTATGATACCCATTGCAGGCGGTGGAGCTGGAGCTTTCGTCTTGATTCTGATATTCTTCATTGCTGTCCTTAGTGTCGCGAAAAGGTCAATTTTTATTATAATTTTACACGGTCAGAAGTACAAATGGCAACCGCTCTTACTGCATTCCGTCTTTTGCAAAGGCAGCACGACCAAGACACCAGGTTGCAAGCTTGCCGGTGGCGTAGCAGTGTTATGAGGAACATATCCTGCATGGGCACGAAAACGGTCGCTCTGAGACAGTTATAGGCCTAAGTGGGAAACCTTAAGCATTCATTTTTCTGCAGGATATGTTCCACATTCTGTCAAGAGAGTTTTCTTTTTATAATAAGACATATCATTACTCTTAAAAGCACAATTTTGGTAATTTTGAATAACGCTAGGGTCTGCAGTCTGTTGAAATAGGATTGGTTCCAGAGGGTGCTGTGTCCAATGTCCATTTTTATATTTTTTTAATGCAGTTGTGTATCCAAGAAAAGCTAAGTTTGTCACACTTCTAAATTCCGATATTGTGTGATCGATTTTGCGACAGGAGAAAAGCACGACCACAAACCAACCATCCTGTTCAGACAGGACGCATAACTGAGATAAGTTCTACCATAGAGCTACAACCCACGAACATGGTTGAGGTCGCTTCACTCAGGGCCGCGAGTACTGAACCCTTAGCTCCTGTCTACGAAGAAACAGCGCTTGGTGCTGGCGCGACTTGCAACCACTGCCCTGAATTATCCCGACGGGAGCTCCAACTTCCACACCTTCCGGCAAAAACCGTAACCGAGGAAGCAGGAGCAGTGTATTGCACCGTGACAGGCTGATTCTATCAATAACTGTGTTAAGACGATCGATACGACTTTCTTTGCGGTATTTAACAGAACTTTTAGCGAACAAATTTTACTTGGCTAATGGTATAAACATAAATCTAGGCTGAAGCCTGAATTTCATGGAATTTCTGCACAGGCGCGATTCCTTGTCAAATTTTCCTACTGGGCAAAACAAAATAAGCCGTAGGAGTAAGTAGGGCATACCTTGATGTTCCTACGACAGGAGGGTAACCCGATGCTTTGATTATATATTTCTATGCTTATCCAATTCTTATGTTAAGCAGCTCCATGAAATCAGCGACAGGGCATGGTGGACATACTTGCACGTTCAAGAGTCTTATACATCACAAAAAGTCAATGTTAAAAATAATTCAATTTTAATTTGTATCAAAAGCTATTTCTAACAGTACTTGGTTACTTTTACGTCTCAAATACAGTTTAATAAAGTTTAAAGGAGAGTCTAACACTCTGAAAATTACTAAAATACCATACATTTTCATGTCTTACAAATTTACACGTAGATGTTTATTATAAACAGCAACGATAGGTCGAGTCTTTACTAATCTTCCACAACGTGTGGTACATCGTTTTTCTTTCGTAAATATAGCAGTCAAACAATAACTGAAAATATTAAATGGCACTTTCAAGGCACCATCCAAACATAAAAACTATAATTCAACTACACGCTCAACAAAACGAATAATTACATCAATGATCAGTGATCTCTGAGAGTCCATATTTCTGACAGAGGCTTGCAATTTATAGCGGAGTATTGCTTCGTATACTTTACTGTTAATGTAACGTGATAACACGGTACAAGTCATCGGCACCGGTTTTATTTACATAGATAGCCTCCCGGCTAAATCGGGCAGACAAAATTCCTCGCTAAAGGTTTGGAAGGGCAGAGAAGATCTTAAATAATAAGCTGATTAAAACTATCGATAAAACACTCTCGAAATCTTGTAATCCCGTCAACTTGCCAAATTTACGCTTCGTAAAAAAATATAATGGATGTACAAATATAAAAAAAATTCTAGCCTGACTTCTGATTTCTGAGAGGAACAGATGTCAAAAAATATGGCATAGTTATGAGAAGAAAAAGCGGGCCATTTAAGTGGACTTACTGTCAGTTTCATTTGACATTTTTTAATGTTTTCCACGAAAACTAGTACTGAGGTACAACAGCTCTTACTATTCGTTTTCGAAAGAGGAAGCCCTTTCATTGTCACATTTCTTTACATTAATTACCAAATTAAATCACCAGACTTGAGAATCATGGAAAAATCTATCTTATATCTCAATCAAACTCCGTTTACCTGAACAAGGCAGTGTAACTCCAAAAGAGCCCATTATCTAGTCATGAGGAAGTACACGTTCGACATGTACTTACAGTATTCTTTCAAATTTCCTATTTACGACAAATGTGAAATTTGGATACCTTTTTTCTCCTGCCAGGGGTATGATGGCATTAATATGTATTGCATATTTCTTTTAATGACTGTAACATTTCCCCGTAAATTAACACTCGTGCTAAAAAAAACACTCGATTTCTAATAAAACTCACAAAAGCCTTGGGTTAGCCTGAACAGTCAAACAATACCATTTTAAATATATAACCGACAAAGTTGTTCCATTTTCTCGCAGAAAATTCCAAAAATCGTTCAGGCTATCCAGGTTTTGTAAGAACTGTGAGTATTTTGCTTGCATATTATATTCAAACAGAATTTCCATTCTGATTTGACTTGTTCGGCTTATTGAGTAATCACAAATAAAAAATTTAAAATATCATTTCTCCAGGGTTGCATCCTGCTCAAAAAGTTACCAAAAAAGACGAAAACCACGCTGGTATAAGTTTACATTTAACAAGACTGTTTCACAAATCAAATATTTCTACTAAAAAAGGTTATTTTCACTTTCAAGTTTGCTATAACATTCACCCATATAGAATTATGACAATATCTTACATAAATAAATTCAAAAGAGTTCAAAATTCTTTGCATTTTACAAGCTGAATACATCATCGATATTACATAAAAATATTTCGGATTTTCCTTTAAAAAATTTAGCTTCAACGATTAATGTAATATTGTTTCCTCATATAAAATGTCGGTCTCCAGATCTCGTAATCTACCAGTTAGTACTCCATTTTATTTCCACAAGTGCTTATTTCACTTTCAAGAAAGAACTTCGGTGGACACATTAATCGGCAGACACCAGATAAAAACCTTTGCTCTTCATCCCCGTTATTTTTGCAAAAATTGCCTACTTTAACACCGAACTGGATGGGGTGAAGTGTGAACCTGTCACCGCAAGGATGAATGTCCAGTGGTCTACCAGTGAAATGGACCATTCTATAAATTCGGGGTCCAAAAGTGTGACATTTTGTGTCCCTGTTACGCCTGACCTGTGTAATTTTGCATGGAAATTTCATTGAAATTGATTTCAAACTACATGTATTTCTATTTGTTCGACAGGTAATTTGCATTAATTCATCACTCATAGAAATTAGAGAATTGTTCTGAATTTTCAAAATCAAAAGTAAGATGTGACAGGGATAAAGGACAAAACTTGGACCCCTAATATATAGAATGCCCCAAATCCCTTAAATCATGCTGATGATGGAACAAAATGAAAGCCAGAAACAATGGTACCACTCCTAAAATTAAGAATACATCTACTTCACTTCTGAATAAATAAATTGCAACAACCAACACACCTGAAATTTAAGTACTGGTCAAACCCGGTTGTAATAAACTTTAAATGGTTAGAACTATCAAAATAAATTAAATAAATAAATGAATAACTTACGAGCACTTTATTTACAAATGCATGTACATGTTGGGGAGGGCTTCAATTTAACTGTTTCTACAGAGGTGAAGCTTGATTTTCAGTCCCAGACTGTCGCTTGCCTTGGTAAGGTAATCCGAGGGCTGGAGCACCAGACTTCCTGAGACCAAGTCTCCTGTAACGTCTGCGTCGCTCATGAAGATGTAAGCTCTGCCCAGCTGGAGTCGCTGCAGGCAGTTGCAGTGTGCTGGCAGGGTCACGGCCAGCTCCCTGCTGTCCTGTCGGGATTGCCGCTTGTTGTGGTTGAGGTGGGTGACCCGGGTCAGCTGGAGGATGTGGCGGAAGGGGACGATGGTGATGTTGGAGACTGTGCCTCGGATGAGGGTCAGCTTGCGAGTGTGGTTTTTCCAGCCGTCGGGGGATTTCGCATCTAGGCACATCATACACTCTAAAAAAACAAATACATGTACGCCCAACTTGAGGAAACTTCTCAGTTATAAAACAATGCTTTTAAACACAGTTAGAGCTACAAATTACAAGCTGGTGAGCACAAAGAAAGTCCCTCAGTAAAAGACTGACATTTCCATTCAGAACCATGGAAGCAGTGGAGTAAGGTTGGTGTCGCGACTCTTCCTCACCTTCCACCCCTGCGACCCGGGTTCGAATCCCACCTGGGTTAGCATGTACACTGAGTTTGTAATCCTTGCCTGATTCCATGGGTTTCCATGGAATATTAATCCAGTGTTTTCCTCCCAACTCTGAAATTGAGCATTTCTTCATTGTCTTCTTAATTGTAACCTTATCCTGTAACTGGCACTAAATGTGCTGTTAGATATATAACAGAACTAAATAAAAACTCGACAAACACTTGTCAGCTGTCGAGTCATGAGAAGCATACCAGCCAATCTTGCTGTACTCCTTCCTGAGGTCAGGCCTTACCACACAAAAGATTAAACGGTATTTAAATGAGCCTTCGGTTTAAATTTAAATTCTCAATGTATTGTGTGGTAATGCCTGACCTCAGGAAGGAGTACGACATGTTGGCAGGTCTGGAGAAGGCATGTGGAAATAAAAGTAAAATCTGAAGCTGGAAAACATTGCAACAAAATTAGTAAGCCCTGAGCACAGAATACATATCAAGAAAAGCCCGTTCCAAATGCAACCAAATTTGAATCTTTTTTTAAAGCAAGCCAAGTAAAGGCAGCCCCCCCAAAAATTCACTAGCCATCACTGATCTACTAAACACAAAATGTAGAGACTTTCATTTTACCTCAAATTTACTGCTCCCTATTTACGTTCCACCTTGGAAACTAGACAAAAATCAACCACAAGAAAAGAAAACTTGTATCATGCAATGCCATGCAAAGTTGCAAACACAGCAGTTGGCGTGTTTCAATTAAGTCCTCTGAATGAATAAATGTGCGTGCAGTTATCAACTGTAGCATTAACACTGCACAACGTACACACATGCTGACCAAGACGAACGGTACGCATCACAAAACAATTCACTGAAACAAAAATTAATCTATTTAATCATGCAAATAGATCACTTGTGTTTTTAAACCTTTGACCAAAAGAGCTGTAAATTAAAAGCTTTGTCTAAAATGACTGCCAAGCTGTAACAGCAGGGCGATGACACAGCAGTGGGCAAACTGAACATGGGTCGGTGGACTGAGTGCATGCATCAGTGTTGTCATTGAGTCCAACACACGTCCCTGCAAGACCATCATAAAATCATTCAGTCTCAAGTCACGAGCTAATCCAATGAATTGTGACAATAAGGAACCCTAACCCCACTATTTATTACTGGTCTTGTCAAAAAGACCGGTTAACGGACTTGCGATGGACTCAACCCCGACACTGGTGCACACACACTGCAGAGAACAGCATCATCGGATACCTTGTGGTAGGCAGGTGCCTGCGTCTTTGTCATATTCCATACCCAGCTCACAGCAGGACTCTGACGTGTCCCCCATCTTCTCCCGGCGTCTGGACAACATCCCCGTCTTGGGGCAGCAGACTTTCTGGGCAGGGTCAAACGCCCGGTGGCCACAGCAGCTCCCACGCCGGGTGCCTCGGGTCACGTTACCCTCGCAGCAGGTGTCCATCTCGGGGTCGTAGGCATTCCCTCCGCAGCACTGGCTCCGCCCCTTCTTTTTCCTCCTGGGGGTATTCCCGCAGCAGAGGTGCCTGCTGGGCTTGTACGGTCTGTCGCCACAGCAGGAACCATTTCTCATGCGATACAGCCTCTCGGCACAGCAGGTGCGTTTGCCAAGTTCGTACGGCTCCCCGTTACAGCAGCCCATCGTCGCCACGTCATAAGCTGCACCTGAACAGCAGAGGTGGGTGTCATTGTTGTGCTGCACTCCGCCGCACAAGGGCCGCAGCAGGTTGTCCAGGCATCCATGCAGCTCTGGGTCGTAGATCTGACCGTTACAGCAGCCCTGACTAGAAGCATTGTACACTTGGCCACCGCATCTTGTCTCTTCCAGGTTAGACGGAGGGAGCCTTTGCTGGGAGGTCTTGCATTTCTCCCGACCCATCGGTTCCCCATTGCAGCAAGTCAGCCAGCCGTGGTTCCTACGCAGGGATTTACCCCCACAACAGGTGTAGAGCTCTGAGTCCATCACATCCCTACTGCAGCACATGGCCTTGTCCCCATATGCGTGGGTCTTCTTGACCCCATCGCAGCAAATGGCATCCTCGCTGCTTCTAATGACCTCATTCCCGCAGCACTCCCCAGGGAATGGATACAGCAAGCCCTGGCAGACGGTATGTCCTGCTGGGATGCTCTCCCCCTCCGCACTGAAGAACCTCGCGTCCTTGGGGAAGATATAATGGACATCACCGACGGCTCTGCAGACTTGTCTGCTTGGGTCCATGAGGTCGCTATGACAGCAGACAGCATCCTGAGCATCATGGAAGAGCGAGTCCATGCAACACTTCTTGGTTTCATCCAGGGTGTCGTAGGCAACCCGTCCACAACAGGTATCGCCATGCATTGTCTTATCGTACAGACTGCAGGAGAAATTTATCGACAACATATAAGTGGCATCCCTGAGGGTAGCGACATAAAACCCAGCCTTAGGGAAACAGATGAACATTTGTTACAAATGTATTGGCCCTGAACTTTTACAAGAATTACTAAAACATGATCGCACAATTACCTCAATAAGAAAGCTTACAGGGTACAGTAGATGAACTTTTATTAGATGTACTTTTTATGCAATTTCATGAAAACTATTGCGCAGCCTTTTTAGGGGTTGACTGTTCTGAAAAAGTGTACTTTTCTGAAACAATTTAAGTTGTCTATGCTTTTCAAGACAACAGAGGGCGCCGACGCTGTGAAGCCATCCAGGGAAGATGTTCAATCTATATGCTTTTTTGTTCAAATTTTGAACACACAGTTTTCTCACCGAATACACTCAAAAGAGATCTAAAAATGCATTGATTGTTGCCTCATTTTCATGTTCCAAAACAACAAATAAATCACCAAAGAAGATGAAATTTAAGACACCAAAATCTTAAAGTTCCAGCAGTTTTTTAATGCACAAATCAGTTGAACATTCATTTTTTCTCCATGGAATGACATCACAGTTTTATGGGAATTAACATTTGGATAAAAACAAAAAGTCATCAAAATGCCTTTCCAAAATGCACAACAAAACTTGAAAATAAGGAGAAATGAAACACAAAGATGTATTTTCAAGGGATGCTAGAGAAAAATTTTATTGCATAGACCCGTTAAAGTATACTTTTTACATGGCAATTACCAAATCAACAGAAAACAATTCTTCAGAATAATATAAGCAGCACTTACAATTTCCCTTGGCAACAAATCTTCGTGCTGCTCATCAGGAGCCCGCCGCAACATTCCCCATTCTCCACTGGGTAGACCGTGCCTTCACACACCGTGTCATAGGGCCGATGAGCCACCCCATCTGTGCAAGCCGTCTTGTCGCCTACGGTGGACTGCAGAGTGCTGTTGCAGCACATCAGTGCTGGGTTGGATGGGTCAAAGAGCTCGCGTCCGCAGCACACTCGGCCTGAAGATACAATAGTGAGAAACGGTGCACATCAGGTGACAATGCTCCATACTGGACAGCGCTGAGAAGAATGGGTGGCCAGAGCACAGGTACTGTACAAACTAAATTTAAAACCTGCGTTGATTGCTTTTCCCTGAATTACTAGACCACTGCCAATAGCACATGAATCCATGGGCACTGAATTTCATCAGTTGCCAGCTACTGATGGGGCTCCACAGGATCAATGTAAGCATGTCTTACGAGAAGGACCAAAAAACAGTTCACGCTTTAAAGCTCAAAGCTCAAATGTTACACTGAAGTCAACACAAATTTAACCAAACCTCAAGTAGTACAACACAAAATAAGCATATACTTGAGGTAAACAAAATGATGTTTAAATTTGAAAATACAAGTTTCCTGTCCCATGAGTGATTACAATCAATACACAGGGGTCTTCGGGGACTTCCGATGAAGAGAAGGAAACATCTTCTCAACAGCTTTGCCAGAAAACAGTCAGTTCCAAAGACTGTCCAAAGACTCTCCTATTTATTAAAATATGCAAGTCTCCAGACCAATGTCAAGCTGCTGTAATGCAGAATCTGAGGTATAGTGTCTGCAATCCCATGCTCAGGATGTACATGTATACCCAAAATGTACTGTTTCAATTACACAGAAGGCTCAAAATGGCACCAAAAAACCTTCAAGTACTTGAGAGATGACAATTACTAGCGTGAACTTGCTACAAGTGAGTATTTTATTGAGGGGAATTCAAATCTCAGTGCACGGCAAGTACATAGCGAACAACCTTGTCCCTAACCTTGGGCTGTCACCTCATGCAGTACCCTATCACAGCACTTGTGGGTGTCTGGGTTAAAGCCTTCAGAGCCACAGCAGTTGCCTTCTCCAACACCAGTCCCGGGGGTCGAGTATTGCCTGTCATCACAGCACGTCTCCCCCGGCCCAATCAGGACGCCCCCACAGCACTCCTTCTCTGCAGGATCATAGGGGTAGTAACCGTTTTCAGCCTCTGTGTTTATGCAGACCTCCAAGCCGTGCTCCAATTCCTCCAGGGGCCTGATGAAGCTGTCACCATCACACCCATGAGTCCGTTCATTATACACGTTGCCTCGGCAATATCTGGATCAACATCAAAACCTCAAAGTAATTTCTTAAATATAGGCCTAGCAATCAATTGTTTCAACCTTCCCTAAAATGAAGACCGGGTGAGTATTAACCAGGCTACGGTCTACTCGCAAGACCTGAAAATGTCTATGTATTTTTCCTTTAGACTCACTTTCGGTGCATTTGTACTGCCCTTTTCAATGTAGGCAACCTAGCTTGATATCCCTTGTAAGTTAAGTATGTCGCGTACGTATAAAAGTTCAAAATTGAGGGCGCTATTGCTGTGATGTCATTCAGGGAATATTGCATTTTGAGCATGCCTCTACTGTCCCCTGAGACTTGCACGTGAAGATGCCCCGTGTTTACAGCTGTATCTCCCTGTGACATTTTGGGGACACCGGCATATCATAAATACATAATGAGTGTTTCTGAAATCGGCGAAAAAGGGACTCACAGACGCCCATTTTGGGGAGTTTTCTATCATAAATGGGAAAAATTTTTTCATGTTAATTTTAAAAGATGGTCTTGTCACCTCTTGTTCAAAGGTTATAATTGGGAAAGAAGATTTTCTTTCCCTTACCTCTTTAAAATATCCAAGCAAAAATTGAAAATACAATTTAATGAGCTTTAAAAAAGAGGTATTTTTAACAGTTGAACTCAAAAAAATATGACATTGCACAGAGCATTTAACTTGACGGGTTGTCCCAGTAGATATCCCATCTTCAAAGACCCACCCCTCCCCCCATCTGTCAACCTGCTCTGTATGTTTTCCAACTTACCCAGCAAATTCCTCCGGGAATGGATATTTTCGTTCCCCGTAGCAGGTGTGCCACTGCGGGACGTAGGTTTCGCTACCGCAACATTTCTGCCGATAGGGCTTCTCAGCCAGATAGAATTTGGGCTGGACGGTGAGGTGGCAACACTGTTGTGTGTCTGGGCTGTAGGCTTCTGTCCCACAGTGCATCTGGTCCCCAGAGACTGTCTTTGTGATAATCTTTAGATTTCTGCAGATCTACAATAACACACACACACACAAAGCAATTCTCTTAGATCCAGTAAGTGAAACATACATACAATACATAATCAACACATTCCTTCACCACTTAAACATTCCTTGTGCTTGTCCAAAAACCATCGTTTTCCAAATTTAGGGTCCAAATGAACGTATGAGTTCCTTAGTAAAGTTTCGTTACAATACATGGTTACAGTAAGACCATTACTTATCCACATTCGGTTTAATTCGGCTCCTTAAATGACTACAGATTTCTTTGGGGGTGGTACGCAATCACTCCTTTCTCTTCTGTTCATCCAAAAGCATTTGCAAGGTGTGCGTCAAAAGCACAGCCTTGACCCAAGACAGTTTCAAGACAGCAGCAACAAACAGACCTCTCAGCCTTACCTCTGTTGTGTCGTCGTAGGTCGGGCCATTTCTACTGCGACGCCATCCGTTACGAGGATTCTTGTTCACACAACAGACTGAGTTGTGGTTGGAATTGAGTTTGGTCACGGGAGTTCGTGAGCAAGGACTACACAACTGGTTGTGGCCAAGTTCTTTGACACCGCAGCACACGGCGTCTTTGCCATACAGTCTACCTACAGAACAAAAACAAGATGGCCGGCTGTTTGACATAAGACATGTGACACATGTGAGTTTCAACAGCTCGATTACAAACACTTCCAGAGTTTGTACTGCCGTCCACGGTTTATTGTAAGAATGCTATTACTGATACACTTCGTGTCCCTGAGTGTTTTACGTGTCTTTCTTGGTCGGTCACAAAAATAAAGATCCTATTACATCAGGATCATCAATACAAATTCCTTAAACTTGAATGTGTTTGAATTTGGGTGAACATGTCATTGTTGCTAATTCATGTTTACATTTCCATTCACAAGAAATCTGAACGAGACTTTTTTGGATGGACCAGTGACTTTGGAATGGTGAGAGCAATATTTGGTGTCTATTCAAATAAGAGTTAAATACAAGTGAGTGAAAAAATACTCTTACGATGTGAGTAAAAAAGAGTTATTAATAGCCAAACTGAGAGCAGCACTCACCAAGCTGGTTTCCGCACTTATCCCCCTTTTTTTTTCCGCAACACTTGTTTTCCTCTGGTCGGTATGCTCGGGTGCCACAGCACGATCCATTCACAATGTTGGTTACGTGTCCACAGCAGCACGTTTGCTCTTCAGGTTCAAATGTGTTGCTGTCCCCACAGCACTGGGAGGTAGGGGACAATTTATCCACGATGTTGCCCCTACAACACAGCTGAACCGTTGGATCATACAGATCTGCAGGACGGATGTGATGCAAATGACAAAAATGACAGTTTCTTTTCATTTAGAGATGGCAGGCACGCAAAGAGCTTTTTTTTTTCAGAACTTCACTGAGGGGGTTGGAAATTCCTCTTCCCCATGAAATCAGCCATCCCACGACCGACTGCTTTGAAACTTGGCAAGGAATCCGTCATGAGTGAAAAGATAAAGAGTTTCAATTCAATCAGATATAGGGTTTTTGAATTAATAATCCTTTACACTTCATACTTCCACAAGTCAAAATCTGTGTGGGGGTGATCTTTGACAATGATGGAAAGACAAAGGAACCTCCATGTACGGACTGATAACGGATTCGGATTTGATTTCGACGATCAAATCCAGCTGGGGGCCATGACGCCCACATTTCCTGTCTCGAAGAGTCCCTACAAAGAAGACTTCCTGAGCTCCCCACCAAGCCCACTCACCACTGCCGCAGCATTCTTTGCCTGCCTCCAAGTCACGGAGAGTGTTGTCGCAGCACACCTGCTGAGTCTTTAGGTAGGACACGCCACTGCAGCAACCTTGAACGCCCGGTATCTCAGGAATGGAGAGCGACAGGGCACCTGAGCGGCAACAGGATGCCTGCTGTGGGTTATACGCATTGCCGAAACAGCACCTGCCATTTCCTGTAAAATGACAATAATTTGACATACTCAATTGTAAATAAATAAATAAACGGAACATTAATTCATAAATCTGGCGTTAAATACAAGAACATTTACAAACAACATTTTACAAATTATAGTCAACAATTGGAAATCATGGTGAATAAATGCTATCACTGGATCTTTTTTATTGACCTCAAACAATGTGATGACCTGGCCTGTTGATGACATTTGTACAGAGCCACTGTTTGGTGACAGTCGCTTCATACAATAGTCACCACAATGCTTGCCGGGGCCATGTCCAGTGCGACGTCACTGGACTGACTTGTACGCAAACTGAAATTCATTTCATTCTACACTCAACTTCAATGAAACCTTTTTGCAACAAATGTGTCTTTAGTGTACATGTGGTATCAATGCTTATGCCAGTTCTGTTTCTGCCCTGAGATTAAGTGCACCCTTACTGGCAAAAGAGGGACAAGTTTTTCAAATGAGCTTATGCCCTCTGTTGTTCACGCCCGGAGCGGTTAACAAACACAATAGCAGTAGCATCACAAATGTTCATCTTTTTGAGGGCGAGGGGGCTGCGGAATGTTTCTATAACTGCATTTTTGAAGAGCAGCAAGGTTGTAATACTAACAACCCACGCAGCTCCTTTCATGATCCCAAACAAGGCTTTGCCGTTGTTTAAAATGGAAGCGCAAGTAGAAATCACTTGATATATTGGGTACATTGAAAATGCCATGGGGTTTCAGCAAAGTGGTGCATTTCGAAGATTGCCTGTGGGAGGGAGGGTTGAAATCCATGCCTTACCGATATTTGGAGTGATCACTGAGTTACAACACTGGTCCGTGTCCTTGTTGTAAGGCGTCAGTCCACAGCACTCCATCTTGCCATCTACCAGCGGGCTGATCCTGTAGTCATTCGGTTGCTGGCAGCAGACCTCCGTCGAAGTGTCAAAGGCTTCTGTTCCGCAACACTCAGTGGAGGGAGTCCTTTGGTCAATTGCATTCTGTAGATTATCAAAACTTTCACTGAGCAATCACGCGTCAAAATTTATGACACATATAACTAACATTTCCACAATGGATTGTGACTAGGGCTTAGTCAATTTGAATAATTCCCTGTTCAGATATTCGACCTTCAGTTTGATCGAATATCCGAATATTTAGTCGTACCGACCGGCAGATTGTTGATGAACAAATCAGTTGGAATAACGCACACAATTGTACATTACAATAACTATAACTGCTTCTCACGTGTGGGAGTATCACCACGATTTAGCAAGATTTAAAAGATGAATGACATTTCTTACCCTTTTAAAAATTTCTATTCCTTTCAAATTGTGTCATGAATAATTTACTTTTTGAATCGTAAGATTTCTGTCACTTTTCATTTGAATCTGCTTGAAACAAGTCTCTATAGTGCAGTTTTCTCAATTAAAACAAAAGAAAATTTCCCTCCTATTCATGAATTTTGCATTTGAATATTCAAATTCAGCAAATAATATTTGAATATTTGATAATCGATCAAATGTGCCGAGCCCAGCCCAAATTGAGACAAACTTTTAATGGGTCAACACAGTATGTCCATACACACAGTATGACTTGGATCAGGATTTGACAGCATGATACAGTATTTAACGAAAACCATTTCATTACATAAATGTACATGTAACACTTATCAAAATCATCAACAAACAAGTTAGAACTATCAACTATTCAAAAAAACCAGATCAATTTTACCCAAAACGTCAGAGCCAACTTACATCCTGGCAACACAGAGTGCTTCTGGTGTCAATGACCTTGGTGTTGCAGCACTCCAGGAAACCATGGACAACCGCTGCCCTGCCAACGGTGGCCACATGGCCGGTATCACCCGGCCCCAGGCAGCAGTGCTCTGTCTCAGGATTGAAGACAGAATTACTCCCACAACACTTCCCGGCGCCCTCAATAATGTTTCCCTTGCAACAAGTGTGTGTGGTCGTGTCTATCCACTGATTGTTGCAGCATTCAAAGTGGTCACTACTCTCATTGACTCTACCGCCGCAGCAACTGTGGGTGCTGGTGTCAATCCAAGTATGGTCTCCACAGCATTCACCCGTGGTGGAGTCAAACAGCTGTCCACCACCTGCAAATGTTAATCAACCATCATTATTACAACATACTGATTCCCTACCTGACACGGAAGAAATACAACTCATACAATCTCAAATGACCAACAATTCTCAGACAGAGCAGACAGAGTTCGGCGATCCATCCTCTGTGACTTTCCAGCTTCATAAACCCCAACAAGTTTGAAAAAGCATTATTTATGAAGGGGGGTTTTAGCGAGGGGTTCAGGTTCAGTACCTATGAGAATGGAACGAGTGCCATCTCTAACCTCTTTACAAGTTTGATGGTGTTTATCAAACAAGAAACTTGACAAGTACTTACAGCACCATTCCTCCAAATTTGAAGCACGTCGCAAGATGCGTCCTTGACAGCATGCCTCTTTGTATTTGTCGTAGAACGACTCCCGGCCATTGTAAATGCAGGACTGCCACCTCGAATCAACAGCTAGAGAGAAAAATATTACATTTAGACTAAAACTTAGAAATAACAGCACCAAAAAGGACCATATACACAACTTTCAAACATTAACAGAATATTGGAAATCATTACACTTACAATTTATCAAAAGAAGAAAATTAATACATATAAGACTAAACTGCTTGATAAAACTCAACAGGTGCCCCATGGCACAGCTTTAATTTGGTCTGTCCAAATGATCAAATGAAGAAAGGTTCAATTAAAGTGAAGTGAATTATGCCATTGTAGATAAACCTCTTTTATTAGTAACATGACATCAAAGGGTTGATCAGATTTCCTGATTGCGTAACAAGAGGGTCTGCTGAGAACTACAGGAATTTATGAAATATTTACCAGTCACCCTTTAAAAGGGAAATCTATGAACCAGGTGAGCTTGCGACACAATTGGATTACTATGTACATGTACATATACATGTACTGTACATCACATTTCTAAATTCCAGGAAGTTCAGTTAACAAAACCATTTAGAAACATAATCCTGGGATATATTTAACTTTTTTGTGTTTTTAATTTACCATTTCTATTAATTTTATTTTTGGTTTATAAATTACTTTTCAAACTAGGAACTAGGAAGAGAATGGAAAATAATACATGTGCTACTGTACATGAACCATCACATTTTTTACAGCGAAGTTTGAAACTTTTTCAAAATTGGTTCTCCTACATGTAATTACTATATGTAGCACTCTTTTTTCTTTTTTTTTTTGCTCTAATTCCCATTCAAAATTTGAAATTCTCCCCAAACATGCAAAACAAATCACGCAAACTGTACTCATTAGAAAGAATAAGCTCAAAAATTTCATTACAAAATTTTAGGCATGCTTCACCTATATGTAAATGTTATGAGCAATAATTCGCTCTTTTCCTAGCACTACCAGTGAGTCATGTAATGTTCCTCTTCTGAGAACCACAATGACTGATTAAACAAATGCAATCAGCAATTGGCCGATGAGGTTGCTCTCTCCGTCTCCTGCTACCAGACTTTGTTCTTCACTTGTTCTCTGATGCCAGCGTTTCTACTAAGATTCCTCCCTACCCTGCGCTTACTCGTGCAAGCACAGCTGTATTCAATTTAACACTTGCATGGCATCTTGCCCTTTAAACTACAACCCGCCAAAAATTACCCGGGGATGTATCACCGTAACACTATGCAGTGAGAAAACATGGCACCTTAGCTAAATGCTGCACGCAACAGAAAGTTTACACTTTTAGAGAACGATCATTGTAGAGGTACAATTTGGATCAGGTCAAGTTCTGAGAAAGAACGACGAGTACAAATGTGTGTATGTCCATGACTTTTGACAGTTTGAGTTACTTTGGCAAATTCAATTGTTCTACAACCCCGTAGCCAAGCCAAGTTAGGCACCTCGAGTAACCCAAGAGCTTTTGTTTGTAACCACACTTCACATCCCAACTAAACTGGCAAAAAGTTTATGATATATGCATCACCAAAGTAATTGAACTCGCTGTTTAATACATGTAATTCCTTGAATTTTAAGTTCTAATATGGAAAAAAGGATGGGCCTAATATCCAATATCTATAATGTCCTGTGGGTTTTTCTAGTTAAGGTTTTAATTATACTAGCATCTTTCTGCTCATCACATTCGTAAATTTGTAAAGTTCCTGATACAATGAGGATATACATGTAGGGCTATTGCCTCTATCATTACGTGTTCATTCTACTTCTGGATGAAGTCACATGTACTGTCAAGATAAATTATCAAAAATAATGTATATAGATATATATATATGTAAATCAATGGTGCCTTATAGGCTGTTCTTTGTTATTTTAATTTAATGTTAATTATAATTAATTCACAAAAAGTTTATTTGAGCTTATTCTAGTGATACAAAGACCTTCCATCTCTGCCTAAACGCACCAGCAGTGACCAGCTGAAGTAATGAACGTCTGCAGGCCTATCTGACCGTAGCATTCGCTTGATGAAGTATGAGCATGATCGTGCTCAAGTTACTCCAGCTATCAGACTACAGTATAATTCAACCAGCCTACATGTATTTATGTCAGTAAATTGGCATAGTCATCACGTACCCCCAGAACTGTGGGGTCTGACTCCAACGTCCGCCACACTAGTACTAGCGGGCTGAATGTCGGAATTCTGAGGGTAAGGCCTAACGCTCATTCACAAGTTAAAACGTGTTCATAAGAAAGACACACACACGAGCACCATACATGTAAGCCTTATCGCAAATACTGCACAGGTGATTTTGCTTAATGATAAAAAGGCATAGCGGGAAGGAAAACGGGGCAATGTTTACTCCTTTTTTATGCCTTTTTTCCTTCCCACAGTGCCATTCCACCATCGTTATGATTGTGCATAACCACCCATGCATATTTGCTATAACTTGGCTTATGGAGGATGGATAGCACGGCACTGACTAGAGTCGGTCCGACATCGCCTAACGGCCTATTATTAAGTATTAACTATTATAAACAAATTTGGTAAAATTCTGCAATCACTCACAAGTATCCTTCCAGCATTTGCCGGTTGATTTCACTCACATGCATGTACTGTATTTGGTTCCATTTGGAAATAACTTCTGGGGGATTTTTATTACCATAGTACAACATCCACGAAGATCATTTCTCTGTAATTGACCTAGCGCCACCATCGCGTACCTCGTACCTGTTTACTGACCTTTCTAGTCTGGTTCCCTGAATACAACATCCCAACGACTGCGGAGTCCTGTTGTTATGTCCAACTAATTTTGCCAAACATGAATAATGCAATATCAGTGACCTGTACCCTTTCATCCTAACCGCTGATTGGGCAGCATGTAGTACATGTACATTTCGCGAGCTTTCAGCCGGCCACGCAAGATCCAAAAGCCTGTAAGTTTCTGAAAATTTGAGCTGTATTTTGAACAGTGAATGCCTATATGGTAGAATGAGACTATATGTGTACTTCTTCAGTCAGCGCTTTTTGTATTGTATTCTGCGCAGCAGTTAAGTCTATACAGTAGAACACATTTGGCTGAAAACTCACCTGTCGATAAGTTCAATTGTGTCACTGAGTTGGTAGTGTCATTGCTGTACCAGGAAGAGGAGTTTTGTTAATGCATTTCGCAAGAACTACGTGTAGAGGCATTTGCTGTAGGCCAACGACGTACATGTACATGTATGGGCTAACAATAGCAGCCGCTAGTTTGTATGGTGAGTTCAAGAGAGCGTCACTTTGCCTGGCGACAGATTTAACTGTTGATAAATTAAGTGTTTTTCCCTTTTGGGAATGTAATTTATAAACGTTTTTAAAATTCTATAATCGATGTTGATGATAAGCAATGCACTTCCTGCAATGCACTGTCATCATTTAGACCCTTATTTATTATAGCAGCTGAGCTGAGTGCTCAGTGCTCATGGTTGAATTAAATTTTGTAATTTATGCAAAGGAGTTTCGCTTCTTTTGTAGGAAGTATTTGTGAAATGTCAGAAAACTCAAAATAGAGTAGCAACATTTTGTATGATTCATTTTGTTTGAATATTAACGCGTTTATATGAATATGTGAATGAGTAGAAGAAACACTTGAACTTAAAGATTAAAAATTCAGAGAGAAAAAAGTCATTAAGAATACCTGACGAGTAATGCACGGAGTTAACAGCAATGAGAAGCAGGCATATTCTGCACATCAAACTCGTCATTGTGAAGAGAAATCTTTTTAAGTCAGTAGTTGGAGAGGTCTCGCTTCATAATACAGTAGCAACAGTTTGCTGGTCAAAGTTTGCTGGCATTAATTTTAAGCCGTTTGATTTAGTCTGTTGTGAGGGTTCTTGCTGAGTGTTCTAATTTTGGATATATAAGATTAGTTGCCTTGTGGAAGCGCATTCCGTCAGTGGGATTCCCCAGAGTCTATAAAGTTCAGTTCAACTCATACTTCCGCTTACTGGAGTCATCGATATTTTTGAACCTACGGTTCCATGTTCCCTTGGCCCATCTTGACTAGTATGTCGAACCCAATTGATGCGTTACAAGGTGCGTAGGGATTACAATGACGTTTTCCCAAAACACGTACAACGGCCCGGTTTGCACACGGACTACGGACATGCGCGCCTCAGTACTGCTGATGTTGAAATCGGTTAGAGGCCACAGAGCCGCAACGAGTCCACACCAAAATAAGTGCCTACACTGGCGTCTTAATATACATGTATGGAGACTTCGTTGCCTGCATAACAATAACCGGACCGTATCCTTGAAGACGCTGTGCCCACTTTCGGTGAAATAGCCAGCGATTGACCTTTGTGTCATTGTTTTCACTTTTTCTTCACCAGAAAACCTGTACCACTGAACCAGGGGCACGCGACACCCCCCCCCCACATACACCCACACAGACAGAATTATACGATCACGGGGAGAGGTGTTGCAATACGGTTTGAGAAAGATACACCCACACAGACAGAATTATACGATCACGGGGAGAGGTGTTGCAATACGGTTTGAGAAAGAAAACTATCTGAACGTCCTTCTGCCAAGGCGGCAGGATTACAAATTTGTAAAGTCGAAGGCAAAACCAACAAATAAATCACCCCGAAGTCTTAACGCACGGGACCTTTACCCGAAGTATTTTTACGAGCACTGGCCACCGGAGAGTGGCTGGTGGGGGTCTTCTTAGATATAACCCTCTCAAGTCACCCTACATTTTTGTCTTAATATTGCGACAGTTTTTGTCTTGCACTCTGCCCTTATCTCTACCCCCTACCAATTTTCAAAGAAATTCAGTTGCCGACGCCTTCAGTTAAGCTTAGCTGAGAATGGCTCGTAATGTATTACTCTCACCTTGAACTGATACAGAAAACATCAGCACAGTCAAAGTAGCCGCGATGACGTAAATATTCCTCTCGTGCGGCGCATCCATCACGTCTATAAAATCCAAGAGGTCTTGAGATCCTTGCTAATGGTTACGGTCTTTGAAAGAGTAAACCCAGAGTACGGCACTTCTTAATTCACCTCCAAATTTTAACAGATTCTTGCCAGAGTCAGCCCAGTTGTAACTGCTTCAGCAGAGCATTCAGGACCTATTCCTCCCGACTGGCCAAAGCCCCCTTATTTATGGCGAGGCCGAAATGAGATCAATAATTAAAAATAAAATGTACGCATTGAAATCATTACAGAAATATATGAACGGAAGCAATTGTAAGACCTATTACTTTTCTTTTTGTAATTACTTCAGTTGGCACAAATCGCTTTCCTTTTTGGCCGGATGTTGCTCAAACACCTGAGTTGTGAGCTCTACAGCGGGCCGCTGTGTGCAACATTTTTGGTACACCTGCCTGGACTTTGATCGCGAACATCCTCATTGGGGAATACCCGGATGAGTATAATAAAACAGAAAACTACGTTAACACTCAACAGTTTTGCAATAACTTTGTAGTTAGATTTGAGTCTCTCTGAATTACGTACAATCAGTTTGTATATAGTTAAAATTGATAGTGGGTGGCATAAGTGTGATTGACTAGACTTTGAAGGCTAAACATTGGTAACAGAGCCAAAAACAAACTTACATAAATTAAAAGACAAACACCGAAACTTTTATAGTCATTCCAATCATTAGTGACATTGTAATGGACGCTTTGGAGGAAAATAAAACAACTACGTGTAAGTTATAGTTTAATGATGAAAAACGGGTGTACAATGATGGTCAGCAGCCTAAAAATAATATTTCCCTGCTACCTTACATATTTTATTTGGAAAAATTAGCATAATTCTGTTTACCCACTTTTGGGCCATTCACTCATTGTTAAGTCATCTTAAAGCTATGCACCCCCTTGGTGCTTGTGTGTAATGTTGATGATTTTTTTGTGTGTACGATTCTGCTCAAAAATCATTCTTTATTAGACAAAGTCTCCATCTTTAATTTTAATGAATGTTATTTTGTATTTTTTGTTGGTCTATTGTAATCATATTATCAGAACTTTTTCCATGGGGCAAATCAAAGGTGGACTTTGTATTCTTTTTTACACAGGAAGGTAACTTTCATCGAGGAAGATGTCAAAACGTGTTCAGATCTATTCTGGTATTTTGCTTGTCTAATTATGGTGGTAGAATCTTAAAGTGTGTACTTGATAGTTTATCTCAACTATTAGATTGAAGAAGTCGTCATTATTGTCTCCTTATTCCATCATTACTTGAATGTGCACGCATATACATGAATAGTCTATGAAATGTAAGCGTGTTCGGAGAAAAGAATTGTACCTTAGCTTTATGGTATACGGCAAATCGGGTCCACGTTCAATAAACATGTCGTCACTTGTGAGTAACGAAAACCTGCACTGATGCTTTTAAACCAAATGATTTCCAAATCATTCACGTTACTCTCGCTTTAATTTGTTGTAACACATGCAGCGGATGTCCAATTCATTTTGGAACTTGAAATTTAATCCTGTACTCAAAGTAATAAATAATCTAGCCCAGGTTGGACGACGTCTACATACATTGCGACTAACTGAAATTACTAAATACACCCGCGAACAACGTACTTTGGAGGAAATTCTGCGAAACGCCACGCTTTCCGTCGCGATTCTTTAAAACGACAAATATTGTATGTTCGTGCGGTACATATAGTATGCATTTGCGCGTGCGCGAAATGGCCTCCAACCAGGCCACGTTCTGTCAGTTATGCGTGTTGTCTAGAGCTAGGTCTAGGTCTTTGCTCCGTTACAAATACGTGGAGACGCGAGGATGAAGACCTAGCCCGTTCGGACACGGCCTCATCTGCGACTAGACTTCACACGCCCACGGCTTCCCCGCGCATGCGTAAAGGGGCACTTCGTTCCCGTGCATTTCACGCTAGTGCGAGAACCCACGCTAGACGAACGTGTACTGTAGGTATGTACATGTAGATCGCGAATCGCGACGGAAAGCGTGGCTTTTCACAGAATTTCCACCAAAATACGTTGTTTGCGGGCGTATTTAATAATTTCAACAAAGCATTAATTGAATTCAGGATACAAGGCACTTGTGAACGACATTTTGAGCTGTCTTCGTCAGGTGAAAATGTGAGAAAAAAGTGTTGAAAAAAATTTTGCATAGTTTAAGGACATATCCTGGGACGTTAGTCGCAATGTAATGTAGACGTCGTCCAACCTGGGCAATGAATAATCATGAAAGTGATAGTTAATGGCACGAGGATGTGCGTGGGACACTAAGCAGCGTAAAACTAAAACCGGTGTTCACGTTTGTGTGTATTTTTACAGCAATCTAATTGACTGCCCTTTCTAGCCGAAGTAACATTGTTTCGAAAGTTTTGTGTTGAGCAATGGCCAGCAATGGTGTCAACTGACGGCAATTTCCTCAAACGTCGTATTGAGCATAACATAATTACAATGTTTCGCTTGACCGTAGCAGTAAAGAAAATCATGCTTCCGGAACAGACGAGCAGTGCACGTGCACATAAGTAAAAGAATGGTTCGGCTCAAAATGGTTACAATGAAAGGTACCGTACTTGCAACATGCACTTGAAAAATAAACAAGGAAACTTGGAAGAAATTGTTGACCAGTCGTAAACAGACAGCACAATCAGGAAGAAAATCCGTTATTTTGAAATAAACGTTTTTCTTTTCCTGATTTGGGGTGTAAAGGGAAAGGTGTTATTGAAACGAGTCTATATCAGTCGAATGATCTCTTTAAATAAGCCATACAAGCAAATTCAATCTTGTTTTTTTTTCTTATACCGTTACACCACTCAATGCCAGTCGATTGTTTTCCACAATCCTCCGGGTTTACCATTGACGATGAATGCCTTTCTGGGTGGTCAATGATGAAAATAGTTTATTCCCGCTTTACAATTAGGCTTAACTTGTTTACTTTTTATGTCCTTTTTATTTGACTTTTCTATTACTCCCCTCATTTCAGCCAGGTCTACTTTCACGTGATTGAGGTAAAGGCTAATCGCGACGTCATTTATTCCTTCATTTATTTCTGGTTTATATTCTACAGATCTATTTAATATTGCTTCAGGGAAACAGAGAAATCGAGAGCTATCGAAGAACCAAACGGTCGTTCTATAATTGTATCTCAATTGTATTTCCTGCTGTTTCGTTATTATTAAGCCAAACCATTCCTAGATTTTCTGTATTTACCGAGAATTTCCCTGCAGTACATGCAATCCTTCCAAGAATGCCGTCAAGTATCTGCTTCGTCACCGGAATTTTGACACACCTCTGAAAACCATGTTCTCTGAATGAATTTGTCTCACCAGTTTTCAACTTTTTTCGCACCCTAAAAACACAAACCCAAAAACAAGGAAAGAAAGAAAAAGATTTCCGTTGAGGAATGTGATAATAAGAGCGTAATGTTGTGAAATTATACTAAATTAAGAAAATGTCTGACGGAAGAATACTGGGAGAATGTTGCCACCGACACGGCCTCTTCCCCCCTCTCTATAGCTCTCTCTTTGTGTTAGTGTTTCAAGAAAGCAACAATTCACAACTGCTTTCACAACTGAATGTATGTGAACTGCATGTATTGTTGTATACAAGGTAAAACACACCAAGGAGGTATTTTGAATTGCGAAGTGAGGAAACATTTACATTTCCTTTATTTTGGTAAGTTTGGCAGTCACGTATAAACAGTCATTGAAAACCAGTAGTATCCGGTTTCAGGTTCGAGTTTAATATAGCTTCGGTATTTCCTGCATAGCTTGACTTTCAACTTTAGTATCTCTTCGAAGCGTGTCGGTAATACGTTTGTCTAATTCTGATCCCAATCGATATAACCGGACACTGCTGTTCACTCAACGGTCACAGGTTCCACGACATACGGAGCCAATCCTTCACCGAAAAAAAGCCCGAGGAATCCAGATAAACGGAGGAGTACTCGATGAATAGATTTAAGCGATTTTGTCTTTAAAACGTTTGTGATGAAATGCTTATCGGCTTTGACTTTGTTTTCAGATTTTTTTTTCAGAATAGCTGACAGGTGTTAATCCTTTACATTTACTTCCGGGTACTTCCGGATCCGTCTGCCGGAATGGACCACCTGAGAACCATTTTGTTTCATTTTGGTTTAATTCATTATTGGTTTATTTTATGAATGAATCGCAGTTCAAAACAGATTGACCAAGACAGGCGAAAAAATCAATTCTTTCAACAAATTAAAATTCATCAAACGTGAATTTTCGGGTATAGGCCTGTCCAGGTTTCTCAGAAAACTACCCAAAAATGGGCAACTTCCAATCAAGGGCCGATCCAGAAATAAAATTTAGGATGCAAATTGTTTTCTGGGCCTAAATCTTTTGAAAATTTTCATGGTGTTTCTTAGGGGCGAGGCAACGTCGTGTGGCTTTTTAAACGCATTAGGAAAGATGGCGTAAGAAATGGACCAAAAGTTTCATTATTAAGAATTGGCTCCTTTGAGGGGTCGCACGACCTGGTGCCGCCCCCTTCACTTCCCATCCGCCCCTGCTTCCGGTCCCGTCCCAATTCAGGGTTGTAAGGCCTCAGAATCCTTTCCTGTTCTCTTTAGTAGTGCCGCCCCTCTTTGGCCCGTTATACCTGTCCTCCTCACAGTGCAGCGCGGTAGGGAGGGGCTTGTCGAGGGCCAGTTTAAACCATGCATCGAAAGACAGATTTAAATAAACCCTGAGAACGTTAAGCAAGGGGGCCTTCGTACTGTCGGTGAGTATCTCGGAGAGTCATTTTCGAGATAAATCCCACCTAATGAGCCACTTCGGGATTTCAAAAAGGCACGGTCCTTCGTGAACAAAGCACGCGTGCGCTTTGACGCATTCACAGCCGCACTCACAAGGGAGACGTCATGAATTTGTGGGCATGCGCTGTTGTCTTTAAATAAGAGCGTATCTGTCATAAAATAGTTTTTATGTAGCATTTTGATATCCCTTGACGGATGGGTTCTCCTTACAGGTTGAACTTGGCAGTGCAATAAAAATTGCCATTAACCTGCTGTGGATTTTCGCCTTTATAGGAAATGACCCATTCCGCGCCGTATCGGTGGCACGCATTCGGTTTGCTTCTATTACCTCAATTGTGAAACGACCCTAAGGTGCGGAATCCAGAAATCACTCGGGGTGCTGACTTTGTTACGTTTGCAAGATGTTATGTTTGGGGCAAAAATAGTCAGCATCCGTTACCCAAAACTTAGCAGGAATTAGAGAGTGGGGTCAAAGGGGCTAGTTGAAAGAGGAGTGCTGCAGCCCTCCTTCCAAGATTGCCAACTCTTGGCCTTTGCTTGAGCATCCCTTATGAGAATTAATTTACAAGAGTTTTTAATGCCGAGCCTTCAGTGGTTTTTCTCACTGGTGTCTTGCGATCATTTTGACACCAGACTTATGCACATTGGACGCAGTGTTCTCACGCAACATCCTTTCATTTTAAGACAGCTGGACCAATGGCCATAACTACAAAACCAGTCAGAAGTTTCCTGAATGTATTCCCGTAATAAATGTCTTTACATACAAATCATTGGTCATTAGATAGCCAAGATCTCTTCCCCGGCATTGTGGAGATCCCCAAAAATCTGACCCTTTCAAGATTAAATTAGTAGCGTAGAACAACCATGGCACATCCCATCGGGCCTATAATAACCTTCTATCCGAAGCACAGCCAAATTCTCGTCTGCCGACAATTATCTGACAGGCAAAGTGCCCTTCCTGCTTGCAGTCTCATAATGTACCATTGCATCCAAAGGGGCAATAGGGGCCATGGCCCCACCCCCTGCACCCTCACTCCACCCCCCTCTTTAAAATATAATTAAATAGGCTTTATTCCCCTTCCATTTAAAACATAAAGAAATTAGCCTCGCCCCTCAGAGAGGCCGATGAAGGTTGCATCAGGAAATTTACAAAGTTTTTGGCCCTGAGATAATTAAATTTGGACCCCTCCTCAAAAATTCACAAATTAGCTCTTCAGTAAGCACTCAATTATCGGAGGCCGTACTTAAAGATCTTGAATGCATTATGTTAGAAAATGGAATACGCTTGTCGTAGCGATTTCGGAGTAATGAATATTTTTCATGCATGGACGTCCCAGAATACCGATTATTTTTCATGCATAGACGTCCTGGCATGCCGGCTATACACATCCCTTTTTACATGCAGGAGTGTAATATGCCCGTAACTAGTACCTATAGTCCTGTTCATGTTGTGGCAATTGCCGAAAATCACAAGTGCATGTTTGGTCAAATTGTGAAGGTCAGCGGCAGCGTCAAGCAAACATTCAGACGAATGGCCCCGGCCCTGTTTACGGTAAACCCTCGATCTTGTGTGTGTCATTTTCACGGTCCTTGGATGATGTAATACAGTGTTGTCGCAAGACTAGCACAGTTTACACATCAACTGATCTAGCCAATGAACCACAAAAACGAAATTCCTTTGCCATTGCTCAGCTTGTAACCGTGAATAATGTGAATGGTCGTGACGTGCTGTGCGACATCGTGAATATTCAAATCGTTCGATTGTGCCGAATGATTACGCAATGATAAGCGGATAAGTGGATATTTGCCGCGATACATCTACTTCCGGTTGTAAATGCAGGTATTGTGCTGTATACACACGTCGGACAGGCAGCATTGTGTATGACGTCAAGCTCGGCAGTCATCCGCTAGTTACGTTCACAGAGTGCTTTGAGGACATCGTTGTTCGGTAAACAGGTGGGGAATTCCCTATGATGAAATAGCATGCAGTCATGAATGGACTGAGTCAGCTTCGTTGGAATGCCTTTATTGAATTGAGGGGTTGGCAAGCACTCTCCAGTAAGCTTGCCAAGTGGTTCCCACTCAGGTTACAACTTCGTCAATCAGTGGCGATTTCCTTTCTAAGTGATGCGTGCAAAGTGGAATATATGTTACCACAGCGCACATAATTTTCGCAGCGAGGTCCCAAATGAGAAATCCAGTGAATATACTTCCTGTGAAATAAATCGCTACCAACATGAACTTCATCGCATGAAATGACAAAATGACTTCATGCAAGTATGTATGACCGTCAAAAAAAGATCATAACTTCACCTGTAAACAGTGTTTCAGCACGTGACCTCATTTTTATAGAGCAACACGGTGGTAAAAGCAATGCATTTATTCAAAATCGCAATCTTAAACCCCAAAGTAAGACCTAAGCAAACATTTATTTCACATCGATCACCATCGTCAAAAACAGCTCAAGAAACAACTCTTAAGATAAAATTTACATATACATCAACACGGCACGTTTTGAAATCAAAACACGCATAGTTGGCCGTAAAACGATGTCAACATCAAAAGAAATTGGTGAAGCCGAGAGATTTTGTGCATTTTCCTTGAACAAGACAAGATTCGTGAGACTACTTCACACGGACAGGGACATGACAATTCACTCAGGACTGAGATACTGTTTAAGCTACAAATTGGGAGTAATTTACAAAATATGACAATATATACCACTAAATTAAATTCAAAATTCTTTGCAGTCATGCATGATGATTAGAAATGACTTTTGATCTTAATTGTTTACACAAAGAGCAAGCGACTGCAAATTAAGGTTAATGCTGATAACATAAGTATCTTCTTCTTTGTCACAGGCAAACGGTGATGGTCACAGACTTTAATGTAAAACTTTTGTAAAAGGCAGATTTTTAAACAAACCTTACGTCGAATGTTGTTTTAATAAAAATATTTATTTCTTTAAATAAAGTGATATAAGCGTTTAAAGGAACACATCCCCGTCGCCTGAAAAATTGGAAAAATTCATACATCCATGTTGATCAGTTCTCAAAAGTGGCACAAAGACCTGTGAGATATGTTGTTGTTTTGAATAAAATCTCTGTACATGAGAAATCAGCTATAGCATCGGCAGCGTAGGTTTCCAAAAGGTATACGTTGTGTGGTCCTTTTTGATAGCGACGTCTTTGATGTCGACTCCTTTGAAATCGAGCCTTTTGATACCGACTCCTCTGACGGAGGGAGTCGGCACTAATTTTTGCCACTATTTGGACCCTCCCCTCAAAATATAAGACCCCCAAATCGGCAAGGTTAGCATTCTGTTACTGTGGAATCGACAACAGTACCGTTACAGCACATAGAGTTTTGTCCAAATTGTCTCGATACAATGTTGCCATGGCAACACATCTGAGTCTGGTTGTCTGGAATGTACGCATCACCGCAACACTCGCCGTTCGGCGATGCGGCGTGCGTTCGCCCCCTGCAGTAAACATGCATCGCGCTGCCGTCAAGATGCAGGCTGTGACAGTTCCTGTACCCGGCAGCGCTCAAGATGTACGTGGCATTTTGCTTCATGTCGAAACAGCAGTGCTGGCTGCTAGGGCTGAAGAGCTGGTTGCCACAGCAACGGGAGTCACTGGCATCACTGTGGAGGCTGCCATCGCAGCATCTTAGCTGACGATCTGAGGGGTTGTAAGCCACTGCACCGCAGCACCTAGTGTGTGATGTTTCCTTAGAATATCTGTCGTGAAGAAACAGAAATGAATATATACAAATAATGTGTCCCCCTTAAGTGTAATAATGTTTTATCTCTTAAGTTTGATTCTCGGATGTTGTGACAAGCACGTCTAATGTGTGGAACTGCTCTTTTTCAGAGGACAAAGATGTTTCCTAATGAAACTAGGACAAATCGAACAAAAATGTCATTTTGTTGATGGTGAAATACATATACGTGTTGTATACGTCACTGAAACCTGTTCAATAGTTTTTTAATGAGTTGCATAAGCTTGTTAAAACAACAAATTTCAATTCTTGCGCAGAATGTGTTAATGAATTAGGGGGAAATGAAAGCATATATAGTGATGTTTGCAAGACTTGAAATAATTTGGAAATACACCTTTGTCAGAAAACATTAACAAACCAGGAAGATTTCATTCAATAATGTTTTCATTTTCGCACGCAACAATGTCCATTACATCGTGTCACATGCATCAGCCAACAAAACGTTCCCCCCACACACATAGACACCCACCCACCCATACAAGCTGATCCTCCACGTCGAGACTGCTTTTGTGACTTTTCCCACCCGACGTAACCATTACTCTGAGTCACAAAAAATATCGTGCTTAAATTTTCCTGCTCAATAATATTTCACGTTGACAAGGTTTCCTACAAAATATAACCCCAAACAATGGTGAACGCGATTCCAGTTTTTCCTTCTCTCAATACCTGCGAATCAGAGAAGTCGAAAAACAACCAACGGAAGTGACGTCAGCGTCACTTTGATTGCAACACTTACACATTTCCTCCGCAGCAAATTTCCGTGCTGTCGTCGTACACGAACTTCCCACAACAGTTACTATTTGGTCGTGGGTGGACTACTCCGTTGCACACGGTCTCTGTCAAAGCGTTGTACGCTGTCCCTCCGCTGCAACTCCTCCGAAAACCCCCCGATGACGATTGGAGTCTTCCTTCGCAGCAGATCTCGTGGGATTCGTGCGGATCCCACGAATCGGAGCCACAACAAAGTGTCCCTTTCGAGAGGAAAAGGTGGTGAAATTGACTTTAATTGTTCGGAAAATTTCATAATATTTAATAAGGTCGCAAAATTCCCTAAATACAAATGAAATATGCAAAAGGATTACTGAGTGGCAATAAACCTTAATTTTAGTGGTGTGGAATAAAACTGCCCGTTTGAATACAGAGGAATTTGAGAGAGGAAACCAATTACTATGATTTCATCTGAAATGACTAAACTTGTACGTTTGGGTTGAATGTTAGCCATTTCACATACGATAGGCCTATGTTTGATACTGTTCATGGATTGAGATGCCTTATCAGAGCGATACAATTGGCATTCGTGCCCATACCTTGTTTAATATTTTCATGTACAACGCCCCCACAGCAGATGTCACGATAAGGGTTGTAGCCTCTGATCCCGTTGCAACACTGCCCCTCCCCCAGCGGACTGTCGCCCGTCTCGTACACATGCCCCCGGCAGCAAGTCTGGCCACGCCCAATCAGGACCTCCCCACAGCACTCGTGCTCTGAGGGATGAAACGGCTTGCTTCCGCACAACAGTGGGAAAAGGACCATCTCAGAAGTTTGCCGGACCATTCCATTCCTGTCACAGGTGTGTGTTGCATTGTCGTACGCTTTATTTCGGCAACATCTGAAACATGAAAGAAAATCGTTTTACCACTATTGTTTTTATGGTTTTATTTAATTCCAACGTGGCAAGGGACATATGTTTCTTCGCAAGTGGGGAAGTTGATTTGTTTGTACAATCTGATATATTTTCAGCCTGTTTCCTTTGTAAGAGGTGAAACTAAGTTCTTTTAGAATTGACGTCTCTGTACTGAGCTAAAATAAAATTTGCAGATATTATGAAATGAAAGTATAACTTATTCAATGTACACGTATTGAGCAATAGCGAGAATAGATTAAAAAGTAGCTTTGGCATCCATACTATTTGACACTGGGGTGGGTATGGAAATCCGTCATGAAAAAAGCGAAGAAATTAGATTGGAAAATAAATAAGCTGTGGAATACCCAGGTTTTCAGAGATAGAAGGAAAGTGTGCCTATTTTTTCTTCTCGTTTTTTTTCAAGAGGTCCGAAAGGCTTTTGTTTAAAAACCCTTCCCTTCCGCTGAAGTACATACAGAGAGGTTAATGATGATGTCGCCTGTTCCAGATAATCATCATTTTTAAAATTTATGAAAAGCGAAAATGGCCCCCTAGCCTCCTAACCCCCTCCCTTCCAGTTTTGTACGCCCGTGAAAATGATGCAACAAGAAATAGACGGCCCGTACTTGGACGTCTGTTCCGGAATGTTGTCCACTCGGCCGCTGCAGCACGTCTGGCGCTGTGGCACGTAAGAATGCGTGCTGTAGCGGCAGCAGAAACGCGGGTTGCCGTGCCTGTCCCTGTTTGGGTGGATCCTACCCATGCAGCAGATCTCGGAGTCCGGGTCCAGTGTGTAAGGCCCACATCCACTCAGGTTATTGACGCGATTCTTGGACCGGATTCTCCCCCGATGACATATCTATAAAATAGTTCACCCATAGTTTTCACTCTAAATTATTCGCTTTGTTTTTTGAGATCATCATTTCAATAATGGGGTGGCAAAGGCTATCAAGTAATCAAATTAACGGTGAAAGATTAATTTTGAATTCCTAATTCATAATAGAAGTCTTATATAAAAGTGATAGAGAGTTGCCAGCTAGAACGATCCGTTGGTTCCAATTCCCAAGCATGTTTCTATTTGTTTCACTTTGGTTTTGCTTTTTTAAGTGAAGAAAAGTGCCAACATATCCACTCCCAGTTTGAAAGAGCAAAATGCTGTCTTAAAGTCATTAAATCCAGACGTTCGAAGTGTGATTTCTGGTGACTCTACCCCCGCTCCATCGTGAAAATTGGCTCCTCAGCTAATCAAATTTGCTCGCTTTTCAAAACTTACTTGAGTGATGGAGTTGAAAGTCTGGGAGCGACGCCAGTTTCTATTGCTGCAGACCCGATCGTCAGCGAGGGACGTCTTCCGAACTGGGTGACCTGACATAGCGTCGCAAAGGTGTGTGTCCTGGCGCAGGAGGTACTCACCGCAACACACGCTAGTGTTCGCTGGTACATCTGGGTAGAAGACTTCTGTTGGTGATATTGGGGTGATTTGATGCATCAGAGAGGAGATAGGGAGGAAAAGAGACTGGGGAGATGAGGGGATGAATCTTTCGAATACCCCGACCATCCTTGCCCTCAACCAACGGTTCTATGTTAAAGTTGGGCTAAAGCTTTATTTAGGAAAGAGCATTTTCAAATAAATAAATCGACTGAACAAAGAGAAACACTTTCAATTCTTGCAGCATTTGAGAAAATTTCAGCATCATCACCCCAAAAAATAGTCTTACCGTTTCCGTTGCCTGCGCAACAAGTAGCTTTGCTTGGATCGTAGGCGACAATGCCACCGTGCCCGGTATAGCAGCATCGCCCGCCGGCAAGGGGGAATGTCTGCCCTCCAGTCTCGTGGTCTGTGCTCGTGCAGCACGTCTCTGTGCTCGGATTGTAGGAGAGTCCACCACAACACGCGTCGCTGGAAGCTGCTTTCTGTCGGATGTTGCCGGCGCAACAGAGATGGGTGTTGCTACTGAATGCATCTGGGGGGGAAATCAAGGACGTCGTGAATCCAGCAGACATTAAATTCTGAGGGTAGAAGTCTCCGGATACTTAGTACTAGATGGTCAGGACCTTGAAATGTGTCATGAAATCACGACATATACTTGATATACTTCAACTATTTCGACATGGTTCGGGTAAATCTGACATTTTGAAGTGGAAAGACACAGAGACATGTTGTGATCCTTGGAATTAAAAGGCAACGTCAGAAGCTGAACAGATTGAGGTTGAATCGAGGATCAGAAATTTGTTCTTTAGAAGAATCAAGCCCACCAAAGTTGATCCACGGAGAGAAAGAAAGAGAATGGTCTCTGGATTAACCAGGATTAAGGCAAGAATCATGACAGGTAGCAACATTTTCGGAGGAAATTAGATTATACAATTGCAGAATTTAATTTAGGATTTTTTTTTAAAAGAGAGTGATTTATATTTTGTATAAATGTAGATTACCGGGACTAAAAAAAAGTTTACTTCTGGCATCCGCAGATCTTCAAGACAATCAAGTAATATGCCTGCTTCTAAACTCATACTCCTTTTGGTCAAAAATATTTTGAGGTATGTAGTTTCCAGAATTTCTGGAGTTTTCCCCTCAACCCCTTACCCTTGCCGCAGCATTCCAGGCCGTGATGGGTCTTCCGATGAAGTTCCCCAGAGCAGCAGATTGACTCTGTGTCCAAGTAAGACCGTGGGCCGCAGCATCGTTGCAGGCCGGCCACCTCCGGTAGCCCATGTTGCACGACTCCCAGGCAACAAGAAGCACGACTGGGATGGTAAGCTCGGTCGCCACAGCATTTCCCGTGCCCTGAAAAGGGGGTTGTAATAATTGCATCAGTCGGAAGGTTTCGGGGACCTGAACTTTGCGTTTACTTGTGGAGACTCGGAGACTTAACACGTGTCTTAAGGAGGCACTGAGTTTTAGTTCCCTTTTCAGAAATTACTGTTTGACTTAAGGTTTTTAGTGTAGGCTTTCTTATGAATGAAACAACGAGTGTCAACTGAGGCGAAGAGTTGTAACGGGATTTGCAGCATCATAATTAATGCACAGGACAATGTTAGCATAGCCTACATCCTGTTGTAAGAGCACCAACATTTCAATATATCATTCCCCACCTCCTTCCAGTTTAAGCAACTGAACATGAGAACAAGAAACAAAATCAAGGACAACAATATTACAAACTTTTGCTGTAAAAAAACCTTCCACTTTGACAAAGATAGTCTGTCTAGTGGACTTTACAAAAATATGAACCAAGAGAAAAATGTCAGTACCGATGGGGAATAATGCACCAGCGCAGCAGTGCTCGTTATCGGGATTGTAGGTTGTGCGTCCACAGCACTCGGTTCTGCCCGATGTTCTGTTGTACACGATCCCTCCGCAGCAGATTTGGTGTAAGGTGATGTAAGACCTACCACCGCAGCAGGCAACGTTTTCTCCCTTGGACACAACCTAATAAGGGAATTTAAATCTACAGTTTAAGACTTAGCGATGGGTACAGATTGTTGCAGTAGTTTAATACAACAGTTTGTTTTAATTTACAACGCTAGATTTTCCTCGCAATGTACAGATTACATTGCGGAATTTTGGAAATAAAGTCGCAGATAGATGCATGCAATTTCGATAGGAGGTCGAACCATAACACTGAATGAAAATCACAGCACCCACGGTATCTAAAATTTGGCAAAATTACTAAGTGCATTATCTTTATTCTCGCTAGAATGTGCAATTATTACGCCTTCAATGCCTTACGTTTGAGCAGTTTTGTTACCATGTTACTGGTTGCGCTGAAGTGTTAATTAAACAACAGTTGGGAAAAACATTTGCTTAGTCACAGCATAGGAGGGCAGTATTCAAATTTTCGATGAGCCCTTCCTACAAACGAGTTGGCAAAGAAGTTTGATCATAGAGGGCGGCATTGATCTTCTGCTGAGACTTAATAACCTATGTTGAACCATTGCGGTGGAAACCGCAAACAGAGGGAAACCTTTTTCCTGTCTCCCAGCTAATGACTTATTCTGTGTTTTGCTGGAGAGTCATACTGACCTCCAAAAACTTCACTTAAGAGTTTTTACCTCACTGACGGTTGTATTTTCGGTCTGACTTAGGCAGCACATCTGAATTTCGGGATCAAAAGTGAAGTCAAGGCCGCAGCATTGACCTTTGCCTTTACTCGGCATAGACGTCATCCCAGACGAGCCGACCACATGGCAGCAAGTGTCTCGACGCGCGTTTATTGGGTAGTTGCCGCAGCACGTGTTAAAATCTGTAAGGAGGGGGCAAGAGACAATGTTTCCATTATAATATGACCATCCTGATTCGAGTGGGTTGATTGGTGTCTCCTCCAGAGCTCTGCTGTCACAGGAGATTCAGAATCTCTTGTTCCTCTCTAATCTTGGTACCCAGTTTCACGTGGATGTATTAGATATCATTGTTCTCTGCACAATATGCAAGAAGGGATGAACTGTCATTTTGACATTAGACTGCTGTTTACTAATGGAGTAAGGTTTCGAAATCTCTAATTTTTAAGGCAACAATATTTACAGTTGTCTAATTTGTAATAATTGTATGTACTTCAAATGAATTAGTCTCATCCTCATACGTCTAGCAACAAACACCAACTGGCTTTTCACGGCATTGAAAGCCATGTAATGATAGTATCCAGATTCAGTTTGGACTTCCACTTTCGCGAGTACTCACCTTCAGATTTTCTGTACACATTATTCCCGCAGCACATCTGAGTTTCAGGGTTATATACAACCCTTCCACCGCAGCACTGCCTCTTGTCGTAGATGGGTATGGCCTCCCGCCCACAGCACATGTGCGATAAGCTGTCGAAGAGGTGATTTCCACCTTTGAACGAGGCAATATTTATGGTATGGTAAATCTTAAAGAAGGGTGCACTTCAAGAAAGAGTTGGTACAGAGGCTTTGCACAGAAGCCATCGTGCAGGGCAGTTCTTTTGTTCCACAGGAAACTTCCTTTGTGTATGTGGCAAAAAAGCACTGGCCTGCAAAATGGCAGCCACGCAAACCCCCTATTGCCGCAGGACTTCGCTAACTCTCCTCACCAATGGTTTTATAAAATTGTAATGTGTTGCACAATTCGTAGTGTTTCCCTTTTTACCAAAATGATTTGCAATAATTGCCATTTATTTCAAACAGTTGGTTAAATTTAGTTCGGTGTTAAGTTAGATATGAGCCAACAATTACGCCATAGTGACGTTGTCACTACGGCTACACCTATCTGTAATTATACTGTGTTTTTTTGTGTGTGTGTGTGTGTCCTAATCACGTTCTCTACAAGTTCTCTGAAGTGCATCTGATGAAGTAGTGGTTGCTACGAAAGCTTATTTGGTTGTTCCAGTTAGCCTTTAAAGTGCTACATTTATTTCAATTATCTAGATAGTTCTGAAACTGATTTCTTTAACTCTTTGTAGATCAATTGGTTGGTGACATTTTCACATTTTAATCGATACATGCTGAGATACACCCACAGAGTGACGATCGAGTCGATTTAAAGTGTTAATTTCGTATCAAAAGCAAAACTTTCGTCATTAGTATTCCGTCACTAGACCACTCCGCGGAAGCGTTCCGATGGGAATGCCGTGTTCCCAGTGGAACGGCCGCCCGTTCTGAAATGAGATTAGGCCTAGGGCGTTCGAAATGGAATGTTCAAAACCGTTCCGAATTATGAGGCGAGAAAGCCCTGGGCCAGGCTGAACACAGCCTCGCGCTTTGCACAACAGTAAATGTCATGAAAAATGTGATTTTAGCGTGAAAGTCGGTCACACCGAACTCGGGTCATTGTGTCGCTACTAGGTCAGTAACATACGTCACAGTCACGCATAATCATGCTGGTTGTGAACGTTAATGGCTGGGAGGCTGGCCTGTTGCCAGTAATAACAGAAACATGATCGCTGCTACTGCAAAACATCAGTCATCGTTTCGCCCTAAACTTCCGATTTCCGTTTACAGTACGTGTGTACACACTCGTAGGGATCACGATTTTCTGTACAATGACGTCATTGCCCCTTTCACCGCGTACGGTACTATTTAAACTATTTAACCCAAGGTCAAAGCTGACATCATGAGGCGTATATATGCATTTTCGATTTCATTGAAAGCGAGTTTTATTGTGTCCACATTTTTCCCTTTTTAGGGATAAAATAGGAAGGCTGTTAAATGCTTGCCCTTTTCATCAGAGAAAAAAAAAGAAAACAGTCCAATTCAAACATAACCTAGGGCTGATGGATATCATGAAGCTCCGTAACAAAAGCATTAAAGCAATCATGCATTTTTTCTTTCCAGGAAACGTCCGGAAGAAGCGATCCTCTGTTTCCGGTGCTTTGAATTACTTCCATAACCGGTTTTATCGTTTCCATACTGGAATAAACTCTTCCGGTTTTTTTTGGGGGGGGGGTTGGCTCAATATTGTTGACATGTGTCGAGACAAGTCTTTCTACTCTTCCCGTTCGGATTTACCCAGGAAGTTATCAAAAGGGATCAAAATTAGCGGAATATCCAATTTGCGATTCAGTGGGCACTCACAACAGTTCTGTCCAGTGGTACTGCGGGCATCATGGACGGTGCCTTCGCAACACACCTGCCGATCTGGGTCGTACGCTACTCCGTCAAACGTTGATGGGTTTACGCAGAAAGGTCCTAGTAATGGTTCCCCTGTCATTGAGAGAGCAATTTTAGGTCAGGTGTGGTTATTTAATGTTCCCATTTACGGCCTCCGGTTTAAATTGTTTGGTTTTCATTTCTCATACATATTCATATTTTATCTATTACTCCGTTTGTCTTTGTTAATACTTTGAAGAACTTGTCTCGTAGTCGCATGACTGATGCATTTTAGGCCAGTTATCAGCAAAAGTCAGAACCCAGGAGAAGCACAACTCCGCACCGCCCCCCCGGCTACGCTACTGCTTTGGACTCAATTCCCACAAGCTATTGACGCTTGCGGATGAGTTATTCCATTGTCCTTAACTAAAGCAATTTGGGAACCGAATAGTCTCATTAATAAAACATTTTTCATTGGGGGATATAAATTAAGGGTCACAGGTTTGACCTTTTTTTCTAAATAAGTTGACCAGTAGCCCGAGTCGGCTCAGTTCGTGATAAGTTCTTTTTACTTGAGGAAGAATAATTGAGGTTTTTTATTAAAATGTTATTTTCAGCTCTGTTAACATCGTTAAAATAGAAATTAAGCACCCATCCTTGACCCCTCCCAAAAGGTGCATGTAGCGGGAATGGTTATGTTTGTGTTTGAGAATATTTCAGTTTGCTTGTAATGGTGTCGATAATATACTCACTGGTCTCCCCTTCAAGCAAACAAAAATGTGTAAAACGATCAGCAACTCAAAGCGAATTCATCGGTAAAATTTACCTGAATTAGTGGCGACTGTAATTGGAAATATTCACGATTTACCGAAAAGTTTGAATCATGTTTCACTAATAAGCTAGAAAAATGGCCTGATGTCATGTACGAAAATTTTCAAGTATGCTAACATAAGAGTTCGATTATACGCAATAACGCTTTCAAGTTACAGTTGTGATCAATCGGAGACTAACTTCTTCCGGATAGACGTGTTCAAGTCGCTTTTGGGGCACACCCATCAAGGATGTTGTCTGGGTTGAGGGTTTTCTGGACCTGAAATCCTGTTGTTTTGTGAGTAACTTAAACGGAACTAACGTACGTAGCTTCTGGCACTTTTCTGACTGAACTACTGAGTGTAAAGTCAGGTCGACAGTGAAGCCGTTGGAACGGCAGTTCACGATGATTGCGCAATTCTGGCTACTTAACATTTCCCGGCAACACAGCTCAAACACAGAGACCCGATTTCCATTGCTAAAAGAGAAAATGAGGGAGAAACACTAAGTGCTTTTTCAGCGTGGGCATTCCTGTGTTTTTTGTGTAAAGAAAACTCGATGATATTCTTCGTTTCTTCAGTTGTGAACACTGGATTGTTGATGGTTTCCTTGATTGTCACTCTTCATTTTGCTGCGGATAACTCTCACCCCCAAATGTCTCTAACCCTGCTAGTTTTTTTCAGAGAGGGGAACCCTGTGTGGGCGTGCGCACTGGTCCACGCGTCCTCACAACCCACACTGTATCGATATCTATTGTTCCTCGGTCTCCAAGCAAATGACACGTTTGCCCGCCACTAAAATCTTCGACCTATATAAAGTACTGCAAACTGTTCAATTGCCAAAGGCACCGCTAAGTAAATTAACTCACTATACTCACTCGGATCCAGGAATATTTGCAGGGGGGTTGGGCCAGAGATTTTTTTCTTTCTCATTTTTTCCGCTTATTGTTGACACAACCTGTTTTAATCTTTTCGTCAAGTATCCATTGAAACTAGTCCGACTAAAATGCTGTTAAACGCCGAACATCCAAAAAGGGAGCAAATTCCTCGTCATAGAAACTAAAAATTAAACTCCAAAGTTCTTTTATAGGCTCAATGACTGAGTACATACCCAATTTAAGTTTTTAGCTCATCCATGACGCAAGAAAAGGCAAATACGTGTACTTGCCTAGTGGTGGTTTTGGAAGTTCATTTTTAACGAAAAATGATGACAATGCACCAGTGACGTCATTTCATGATTTCCGCTCTTCCTACGAAGTGACCAATGAAACATCTTGACCCGAGTCGGAAATATTCCGAAAGTAATTTAGTCCACGTCCATAGGCAGTTATTCAGCGAATCTCCTCAAATGTACAGAGTTAATACGTACATGTAATGGGCATGACGCCACCTGTGGTGTGTAAATGGGATCACCTAAGTAGGGGGACTGGATCATTTACTTTTTACATTCTGCCATTTCTTCTGTGGTCGGTCCTTTCACTGTACACTAAATGCCAATGAAATATGAATGAAACTATCAATGCTGTCCCACTGATCCTAAAGGTCGAGTACATATTGCGCAAGAAAGTAGGCCTATACATACGTAACGTTACGAAACTTCAAGCTGTAAGCCCAAATCCATATTATATTTCCGTTTTTATTGATCACGGATCATTATCTAAGAAGATATAGCCTAGTAGAAAGAACAGGCTCTTAAGTTCGGCCAACAGAAGAACCTGCACGAAGAGAATGGCCCAAAAAAGTTGTTAAGAACACCATGCAGAAACGAAAAAGTTGAGAAATATTTCATTTAAAATCTCTTTTCAGGGTATTCCAACAGTCATCAGGAAAATGTATACCCACAATGACGGTGTTACCGGTACAAGTTCGACTACATAACCTAGCATCCGGAAAAAGGAGACGTCCACTGTTTTCTGTAGATCGATCGGGACAGCTTAGAAATGTCGCTACTCACACTTTCAATAAAGTAATTAAATTGTGCGTGCTGTCCATGGGCACACAATTCACCTTGACGGCAACAAAACTGAAAATCCGCAACTTCAACTTTATAACGAGGCCGTCCTGTAATATTATGCTAAACCATCAACAGTTACTTACCTTGGACACTGTCCAGCGTTATTACCATAAAGATAAAGCAGATTACGGGCAAACTCATCGTGAGGATCACGTGATCAAATAAGCACTTCTTTAATTCGTCGGCGTAAAACGATGGACGCGGCTGACGGTCGACAGATAGGTTCGTCTATTTTGAAAAAAAGGCACTGCAAGCGCCTTTTAAAGGGAGCGATCCCCGTATACGTCATTTCCGAATATAGGAGTTGACATCGTATCAAAATTGTCGGTCGTAGTCACGTGACTTGGAGTTCACGCGTGGCGAGTGCTCACAGCCAATTTCAGCACCACCATCATCCTGTTTTCCAAGTCATTACTGAGAAGGTTCGGTTGAAAAATACAAGCCCTTCTCAGGAAAATGATTTCTTTCTGCAGAAAATCCCATCACCGCAGTAAAGCACAACTCCATGCTGCACCCCGCGTAGGTTTCCAAGTCTCCTTTCACACTTGGAAAGGGGTGAGGGGTTGTAAAATATTCAACCACCGCTGCAGCCAATTCTGTGCGTGTCACAGACACTTCGTCGATTGAAACGCTCGGAAATTCACAAAGTGCATCCTATGATTGACTTCATTCTCCATCTTGCTGCTTAAACCAACTCACAACCAAATATCAAACCGCTTAAGTCTTAATATGACTGTGCATCCGTACAATTTACAATATCTTTCTGCTCTGGATAAATCAGGTACCAGATTGGTCAGTGGTATGAATATTTTTCATGCAAATTTCATGCTGCAAAATCTTCTTGAAAAAGGAAGTTGGCCGCATCTCTATCGCCGTCCCTGGATATGGATGGTCCCAGGGTTAGATCCGTCTGATACTGAGTGCCGTTTCATTGTTATTATTTTTTCGATCACATTGGATGCTATTTCTGACGTTGGGAAATTCCAAATAGACCTATCAACATCTTGGAAAAACCCTGGTGTACAAATGCTGCGCTCTGCCTGTTCTCATTCTGTGAGGTTCACCACCTTTCCTGACCTTTGCAGTTTACAAAATGGCATCAACGTCTATTACCACCTGTATGCCTCGGTAAACCATTACATACGTAGAACTGATGGAGAAAATTGTTTTTACAGACGGACGAGAGGCGACACTAAATTTGCCTTGCCTTCACCTTGATATCTTTGCCATTTCCTAATTAAGACATGCGCTTTAAGCCACAAAAAATGGTGATTCTCTTTCCTTTCCGAGAATGACTTGCAAATAATCATCCAGAATTCAACCAAACAGCACCCCAATCACTCTGCTAATCCTATAACTAAATATGACGGCAAAAAAATTGTTTTGACGATGTATTATTACATGATCATGATCATCATACAAATTGCTGAAACGTATTGCTTTGATGTATCACGCGTTACATTAAATTAATATTAATAGTTGCTTGAATTCGGGTCGTAAAATCGACAATTTTGCTTCTCCATAACATTTAATTCACAATCGCCCTCATTCTGACAATCAAGTGCAGATCATGATTATTTCCTACAGCAAAAAAAGGCTGCAATTTATAAAGTGCTGTTTGCGCGATGCAAAATAATTCCAATCGTATCTTTTCCCCTCTGTTCCAGTCAAATAAGTTTTATCAAGTGTGCAGTGAACTTGCTTTATTGAAAAGCGGGTTTAGGGGAATCCCGAGGGGGAATCCCAGTATAGATGCTTGTTGCGCGTGAGGATTTCCCCGGGAATCCCCAAAAGAGATTGCGCCCTCTTGCGACTTGACAAATGTCTACCATGTTTCAGCGACATGCATTTTATGTACGAAGATGGCTACGCCAGAAAAAGGTACGAGTGCTTCTTTTATTTCCTTTTTCCTTGCTTAAAATCATGTTCTGCAACGTGTATTGACATTTAAATCGACGCAGTCTTTAATTCTTCCTTTATATTGACGCTGAACATTTAATTAGTACTGACACATGATACATACTGACGGCTATCGTTGACCAACAAGTTCATCGCATCCTCGGTGGTTTCCTAGTGAATCTAGGCTACTGTACCTTCATGTTCATTGTGAAGGCTGGCCAAAGGGCCATACTAATGTACTGCATTTAATTCGTGATAAAACAATGATGTCCCCATATCTAACTAGCATAGCTACATATAGCAGACTACCGAAGACATGGCATAAGCCTTATTGCTGATACCGCATGGGTGATTTTGCACAAAGGTAGAAAGGCATTGTCATGATTGTGGGAAGGAAAAGGGGCAATGTTTTTGCTCCACTTTCCTTCCCATAATAATCCTGATACACCTAATGCCTTTCTACTATTGTGCAAAATCACTCGTGCAATATCAGCAATAAGGCTTATGGACCATGGACATAGAAAACTTTGGAAGCGTTTTTCAGAAAGAGTTTTCCCTACAGTGTCAGTGCTAATCCAGCGAAGATTTCCATGTACGGATGCCAGTAATTCTTCTCTACAGTGACTTAAAGAGCACATCTAAGGAAAATATGTTTCCTCTGATTCTATCTCTTCAAATAAATATGGAAGCATCCAAACCGAACGCAGTGTCATTTGTCTTCAGAAAAATTGGAAAACTTATTAAAATATTTCAGAACAATCTTATGGATAGGGTATGAACTGACGCGATATATGTGCGTGGAACTCTGGTAATGGTTGAGGATTCAGTATCTACTGCCACTAAACAGTTCCATAGATTGTAGGTGTGGGTACATGTACTTTTAGCCTCAGACTGGGGGCCAGTCTGGGGCATAGGAACATGTACATGTAGGTTAGTTGGAAGGTTTACTCCTTGTTCCAAGTAATTAAGTGTTGAAGACTCTACACATGGACAATGTAAGGGGCACATTGGAAAAGTAAGCTAGGGGCAAGTCAGCCTGGTGCCATTAGAGTGGGGCCAATGGTGCTGCTGACCCTGCCTAAGGTTGGGACGAAGACGGATGATGCCCCTAACATCGTTAACAGCAGACCACCTGCCAACCTGCATCACACTTGCAGTGTATTGTTAACATGGATCAATGTGTGCATGAAGCATCCTATCTGCATTGAATTTTGACATCTTCTGTAATGTATACTTGTATATATTTTATTCACAAAAATACTAAGGAGTTTGAGTCAAGGGACAAAACTTGCCGCAGGGCACGGCAAGAAAGAAAGTTGGCGAAAATAATAAGTTGTTCCAGTGCCTGTAGTTCCACTTCCTGCCATTTCCGGTTTTGGTTGCAAAGTTTCTCTTTGTTTTTTTTTAAAAGCACAACCCAATTTCCATGTGAGGGGTTTTTTTTATTCTCCAAGAAATAACTTTCCAAGGCATAATTTCTGTATCTGTTTTCCTCAGAGAACCCGCTGTTCATGTCATGGCACAACAGCGCCTGGATTCCCCACCTGAGTCGAGCTAACATCATGGACTACTTTGCGGATAGGAGCAACCCCTTCTATGACCGTACCTGTAACAATGAGATAATTAAGATGCAGAGAGTGAATCCGGAGCAACTCAAGTAAGTACACAGAAGGGTCAGGGGATTTTTTTTCAATTTATGTACAGTGTTACGGAAAGCTTAAAAAAACTTTCATCTTAGGCCCCAAAAAGTAGTTTGCCGCAGGTCAGACTGATGTTCCAGAATGCTGACCATAAACAACTTCTTATGCATAGTCTGCTATCATCGTTTAACATCGATCTCATAAGGATCTATCTCCCTGAGTAAAAGATCAAGCCGCCCACAAAACTGTTGAGGCAGTGTAGCAATAGAGGGCACTGTTGCAGCTCTCGCAGAGAGAGAGAAAAAAGACTGACACACATGCTTCAAATCGACACATACGCACTGACCAGAGAGGAAAGACTTTTCTTGGCCTTATTCAAGAAAAAGCCAGTTTAGCCATTCCTATTGGTCGAAAAGCCCATCACTAGGCCAGTTGTCAGTGGGTTAATAAAGCACCAGCTGACTGTGTCCCACATCATGCTGTACACACCAAGCTGCCACCAGTCTCCTGGTGAAGAGATTGTTTACGACTTCTTGTGAGAGGAACATACAAACCACACATACATAACATGAACTTTAAAGACTGTTGAACGAAATTGTTGGAAATTTAGAATATTTAAAACCTGTTTAGATTGTGAAACTCAAAATGTATTTAAAATGTATAAATGTATGTCTGTGCTTGGCCGGTCTTAACGATCATTCAAAACTAGCCAAGCACATTTATGTTGTTTTGTCCCTGACACGTTGACTGCCAACTGCAAGTATACCCGAAGGAAATAAAAGGCTATTGTAAATGTAAATTGAATACACTGGCATCACCAGAGAACACAACAAATATGCAAATATGCTGCTGGCAGTGTGGGGGACATGCACCTGTAAAATGCACCTGAAAGGTACCTGTCAAACATGTCAAATACATGTACAGTTGTACATGTATTTGTACAGCGCTTGGCAAATGGAAATGCCCCTTTGAAATTATGCATGACAGTCAGGGTGTTAATAAATATGTTAAATTGGGCTCTTTTAATCAGTGTCATATCACATTATACGGTATTTGTTATGTTCTTGTAGGTATTTCCATTCTCACACTTTTTTCAGTTACAGGAAGCCTTAAAGTCTTAAAATTACATTCATTGTTGTTGGAAAATTGTCTTGACACTTTGGAGCACTGCTACACTGATGTCAATTTTGGGGGGCCAAAAAATGCATTTGAAATGGCAATGAAAAGTTTGAATAATTGATTTCATTTATTTGCCGAGTCATGGAATTTCATTTGAACTGGCTAAAGCTTATTTTGAAAAACATTTCTATGAAAGACTGCATATGCATTGTTCCTATGAAGTTTGAGTGGTGAATAATTGTTTGTGAACAAATTGTGGAAAAATCATGTGATTATTACCAAATTGTGAGGGGTACCTGGATATCCCATTCCCCAGGCACAATTTCCTTGGAACTACCTCATCCAAGTACACTTTGTCATGGAACAGAGGCAATAAATGCTTTTTGAAAAACATCCGGAATCAGGGCGCAGTATTCCAAAGGCAGGAGAAGGAAGTATCGCAGATTTTAACACCCCCCCTTTAAAAAAATCCCTACAGTTGTTTTTGTACTTTGACCTCGAAGGGAAAGTTTATAAGAACGGGGTCCTGTTGTTATTGAGTGATTTTAGGATGAGACCATTGACAAAAAGCAATTACAGATGTTTTTTTCTGGGGGGGGATGGGATAGGTACTTTCCCTTTGGAGATCTACGCAAAGCAGAAATTTTGCTTTGAATGGGGTCCATTCAACCAAAGGCGGAAGTGAACAGATCAGAGCTCAAGAGATTCACAACTTGTTGACTGGAACATACAAGAATGCATGTAATAAAAATGTCAACCCAAATACTGGGGGTGTATTGTGGGGATGTTCCTTTGGGATTCCCCAATGTACTCCATGATGCAGGAGCCCCATGGGTCATTCATTGAAAACAGGCATGAGCCAACAGGTCCCAGGCAATCAAGACACACAAAATAGCCTCCACCCAACAAAATTTCTCTGGAACCTCTCAGTGGATTTTGAAAGATGTTTGGGATTTAATCTAGTTCCACACCCAAGCTGTGTTTATGAAGCAAATGAAACTTCAATTTCAGTTTAATTTCTTTTCATTGGGATCTTTGAATCATATATGTATAAAGTTTGAACTATGAAATATTATCAATTAAGTTTTATACGTGTACAATGTACATGGAGAAAGCAAAACTGTTCAGGGGCCAAGCTAATGATGTCTCGCATAATTCTTTGCATGAATAAGTAATAAATTTTCATTATTTGTACGTGTGTGCCTTACCAATGCAGATGAGACAGGGAAGCGTAACTTCTCCCTATAGAGTACCAAAGTGAATACCTCACGTGCATAATTAGTGTGTAAAAGGCATTCACGCGAGAACCAGCGCGTGAACCATTACGCACGCACACTCCATTCGTTTGCACTGCACTTTCTGGTTCACAGTGACGTCACACTTCGGTACTCTATTGAAATATGCTGTTGAGTTTTTCCTACTGGGTACAGGTACATGTACCTGTACATTTAGTTAAATACATGTACATCTGCTCTGTGTGTGAGCATTTCCTTAGCAGGGGGCATGTTTCTAGCCTGGAGTAACAGTCCAAAGAAGAAATTGATTTTTAAACTCCACCAACAAAGCCAAAGGAGAATACTTCCGTCCGTATTGTCCCTTCGTATGTGTGTGTGTTTGTATGGGTGGGCCTTTCTGCATTAAGGGGACAATTTCTTTGGTTCGGAAAGTCGGAACCACATCGGGGAGACAAAGCTTTGTATCATGACACTGATTGAATTATTAATGTACTGGGGACCCAAAAGGTTCTAGGGAAAATTGACGGTGCCACAATGTATTTCTGACTTTCTGAACTGAAGAAAATGTTCCCATCATGCAAGCAAGGCTTGCCTACATGTATGTGTATACATGTACATGGTGCTGTTATGGTGGTAGAGTATTTGTGTTTGTCAGTACTTTCCTTGCTTGTTGTGGGCTAGTGCCCAGACAACTGCTATGCAAAATGCAGAATATCCTAGTTTGCAACCCTATGAAGGACAGGGCATTGTGCATGTTAAGCACTGTCCCTACAGTTTAACACCCTCCCATGGATTAAGCATGGGCATGTACCACTAAGGACAGAGTAGAACAAAGGACTGACCAGGACACACAAAGCTGTTGTCCCCCATACTGTTTCTGTGCTCTGTGGTAAAGTACATGAAAGCGATGTAAATTGACCACAATGGTATGTCTATACTTGTTTTTCATTTGTCTACGATGTATTTCAAAATATGGAAGTACTTGTCAGCACTTTATGACAGTTGGATTGCCTCTATTTTACTTTTTTCTAACTCAGAACTATGACAGGCCTTGAGTACGAGCTGCTTCATGTCCAGGAGCCAATTCTTTACGTGATAAGGAAACAGCACCGCCATTCGGTAGAGCACACCACGCCCCTGGCTAACTATTACATCATCGCGGGCGTGGTCTACCAAGCGCCGGACCTGTGCTCCGTGCTGAATTCCAGAATGGTGAGGGAGAAAACTATGGGAGAAAGAATTCTTTTTAATTCAAGATGGCCGACACAAGAATGCAGTCAGTTAATCTCTCATATAAAAATGTGATGTTCGTGTGTACATGTATATGGGATGGGAGTAACCCGCAGTCGTTTAAGGTGAAACTGTAAATTCCTCTTTCCTGTCATGTTGCTTTGCCGTACTTTAGCTGACGAGTCTACATCACATTGAGTCAGCATTTGAAGAGGCTCAGTCGTTCTCCCGCTACAGCCCCAGCAAGGGTTACTGGTGGGAATTTAAGGACAAGGAACAAGAACAAGCAGGTACCAAAATCCAGCAAGTCTTACTTTGTCTTAAAATTTCAGTTTTAGTTCCCCCCCCCCTGAAAAAAAAAATTGCTGCATAAAAATTAAAGCACAGTTGCAATTTCAAGGTTAATCATTGCCAGCTGCTTGTTAACAATGCTGGTCGGATTATTTTTTTTAATAGATCTACAATACAAGGAGAAGGAGGCACTTTATTCTTGATTTTTTTTTTTTTTTTTTCTGTACAGAAGAGAAGCAAAAGAACCAAAGGAAGAAGGAAGAGGCAGCGAGCTCCATGTTCCAGAGACAAAGAGTGGACGTTCTCCTCAAGGAGCTGTCCCGGAAATTTCCTCCAAAGGTCATCCAGGTCAGTAGTGACTCTGTTTCATACCAGTGATTAATTTGACAACAGTTGATTTTAAACATCACTGAGCCTTCATCATTATAAAGAAAACTCCATTACTGAAAAGCACTACAGTGGCATGAACTTAATGCACCCAACACTTAATCACATTCTTGTCACACAGACGCCACAGAGATGTGCACATTCAACTGAAAGTTCATACTCGGGGCCAGTTGTTTTGCATTGGACTGGTGATGCAGTGTGGCCAATCTTACTGCAAAATAATAAATCATGCATGGGCTTTGTGCACATGAGTTGACGCTTTGTAATGTAATCCATGATGTGGGATGTCATCGAAAATGCTGCTCTTGTTTGTCAACTGCCGCAGGCCAAACCTGGCGAAAAGCCGATCCCCGTGGAACACCAGAACGGCACTGTCGCCATCAAGGAGGAGATAAAAGAAGAACAGCAGCAAGTCAACAGCAACTCGGTCGCGACGACAGGCACCATCGGTGCCCCAAACGCAGGGGCCTTCTTCTCCGGTGGCATGAGGCCCCCGATGGTCAAAAAAAGGAAGCTTGGAAAATGACACAAGTTTGGACATTTTTAGGACCGTTTGTGGAAAGTCCCTAGGACTCGCCCATGAAGGACAGTAAGACCCCTGTGCACGCCTTGTGACCTTGGGCTGAGAACTCAGTGTAAGCTACTGCGGAGCCCTACTCCATGGAGGAAAGTGGGTAACAACGAGAGGGGGTGGTAACCTGCAGTCAGGTGGTCCATTCAGCAGACAGGTTGATTGCTGGATGGCAACGTTGTAAGTCAAGCTGAGGTAAAAGATTGTCCATAAGAATCGCCATTGGCTGACAAATAGGCTCAAAAATACCAAACCTTCTGTCACCATAGCGTGCGTTCACTATTTGTGGCTTTATTTTGATTCATGTTTTTATCTGCGGTGTACCAGAGGCTCTATCTCTGGCCCGAATACAACAGCTGTGTCTGCCCCAGGAAAATTGAAGACAAGGTCCCGTCACGTCTTGTCAGACAGAAAAAAAAGGCACAGTTTTGCCAACAGTGCATTTTTGGGGGGCAGGACCCAGGAGGAATTCCGGCTTCCACAGTTCTTTGATCAAAAGGAGACAGTCACCAGACTTGCCCACAAACCCACAAAACAAATAACTGCCTGAACTCAAAACAAAACAGGAACAAAGTTTTTTTTTTAAAACCATTCTGAAAAGGCTGGGTATGAATTTATTGCAAGCACTTGGTTTTTTGTGTGTGCAATATCCTGCTTGATGGTTTTTCAGAAATATATATATATATAGATATATATTTCGCTCAACTAATGAACATTGTTTCTTATTCAGGGCCCATTTTCATTGCGCTTCTTGATAATTAGAAGAAAATGTTTACTCTTCAAAGCAGAAAATCATAGTACTGCTGCTCAAGCATGCCTCGTCACGTCACTGATGTGGACAACTGTTACCCCAGTAGTTAAGCTTACTGTCGTGGTGCCTACTGGTTAATGGTGTCCATGAAAAGAGATGCTGGTTCTGTGGGCTCAAAATTGGCAGTATTGGCTAGGCCGTGAATTTCGGCCCGGATTAGTTGCTGTTTAGCGAGTGTCTCAAGCATCGCACAATTTGAGTTTCTTTCAAGGTGAAGTTTTTGGTGGTTTGGTGGCTTCCATATTTGAAATTAACTGGTGTCCTGCCGCACCATCGCGTTCCAAACCAAAGCAAGTGGCGTGGATCATCATTGTAAAATGATCGAAGATGCTCCTCAAGGAATGGAAAGAATAAAATTAGTATACATGTACAGGGGAAATTTATGCAACCATTACTGAAAACATCACACTGTAAATTCACATCTTTTTATTTCTTTTTCATTTTTGTATAAAAGCTGTCAAAATGTGATACTAAAAATCACCCTTATTGATAGGAGCTAGATCACTGCACAAACACTACCACAACCAGGATTTTAATCCTGAAGAAAAGTACTTAAGTTATGAGGATAAAAAAAGTTATTTGCACTTGAAAACATACACAGGATTCATTTTGATAGGAGTAGCATCAAATATACATACAGCAGACAGAAAACTCGCTTCAGAAGTTTTAAAGAACATTCAACTAAAAGTAAATTGCAAAAATTGGTTCGTCCTCAGTTGAATTTGGAATCGCTTATTTATATCAAGTAATTATTTTCAAACAATGAAGTTGTTCAAATTTGTCCTTATTTATCATCAAAATTAGAAACTTTAAAAGTGTTACTTGCAGTTGAGCAATTGTTTGCAAGAAAAAATACATCTCTTCAAGTTCTATTCATTTTTGAGCAAATTTATATAAATTCGAGCAGAACAAACGCTTCGGTTAAAAGAAGTCCAATAAGACTGCCCATTGATGAAATTAATATTCATAACAGCTCCTGACAAACATCAATTCTTGGATTTGGTGATTTTTATTTCTGCTCTTAAATTTTTGTATACGTCCCATTTTTAGTCAATGAGAATCGTTCCCCCAGAAACAGGGTTTTTTTTCTTCATTTATCCTCCTGATTCATTAGATAACTCAGCTGGTAAGTTTGCTTTTATTTTATTTGAGAATAGGTCCCACATTTCAGCACTTGACACATAACACACCCTTTGCTCAAGCAGACATGACAGGAAATATAAATAAACTTCAAGGAAGCTGACTTGTTCTGGGTTTTTCCCAAATTTTTTGGCAAACCAGAAACTTCAAAGGCAACAGGACTATTTGACACACCTTTTAACAAAACCTCATCAGGAAATGTTTGCCGGCTCAATACTTGTCACAGATGCTTTGTGAGCTTGCTCTGACTAAGATCTTTGCCCACAGCATTATCAAGTTCCCCATCACATGATTTTTAGCGGGTCACCTGAGCCACTTCAAAAACAAAAATGTGGGTTGTGGTTAAAAACAAAACTGAAAACTGCTGGGCTTACTCAAAGACAGAGTAAGAAAACAATTCCTCTCTTTGGTTGTGCTGTAGGTAGTTCCACTGCCCATTATCTCATCCAAACGTCACATTCTACTATGCTCTTGGTTTGTTCTGAAACTCATTGAAATCTTCAAGCAGTTGGGTTTGTCAGTTCCTAATGGGGGAAGTGAGTCCCCATAGACAGTCCACACTGTATTCCAAATACTTCCTTAGTGTCTCTCATGGCCAACTCTACTTGGAAGTAAATTATGATTGAAATCTCTTATGTGTATAAATACCACATGTGCGTTAGACTTGGCACCGAGTCAGTTCCGTTTTGTTCTCCACGTGCAATATCGCTGTGATCTGCAAGGTAGGTACGTATTTCTACCTTTTGTCCCGGGGCATTGCTTTCCTCGTCCCAAACTTACGGATGGGCCATCCAAATAAGTTGAAAGTTGGCCAATTATGTTACTTGTACTAGAGCCGTGCTAATGGTTCACAGACAAAATACTACTGTCTAAATTACTTGTCATCCAGTATACATGTATGTGTGCTTGAGAACCAGGCCAAAGGTAGCATTGGCTCTCGTCATAGCAACTGACACAATTTAGGAAGCTTTTGGGGTGTGCCTGTCGTGATGTATAAGCTCACATCGACCTGTCTATACCAAGTGCCTCAAACTCCAAAACTGACATCTTCCTTCCTTCCTTCATTACACGGACACAGCAAGCACCAGATTTTTTCCCTCAAAGTTGACAGTGGCGAAAATGAAAACGCATACTGACTCCGGCGGATGTTATGTTATGTATTCAGCACTGGCAATGTTTATTATGATACAACCACACAGCAGTGCTTGGGAGCCAAGATCACAGATATACATGTTTCAGTTATTTCAAGCTGCATAGGAGGCTAATCAGCATGAACCAACTTCGCGTGTATCAAGTACTGTTTAGATAGTGTATATTCATGCCAATCTGTTTGGTTTGTTTTTCTTTTTTTAAATACGTGCCTGCTTGTTGAGTTTTGTATAACAAAATAGCATGGAGAAGCTCCATGAGCAAAAGAATCCACCCACTACACGTATAAAGTGTTCAGAGTGCACTTCTAATGGCACCTTCACCTTGGAATGTGTATTACCATTTCAGTTTTGGGTTTCACCCCGTGGAGTCTTATGCTTGAAACCCCAATGAAATGTTCCAGATATTGTTCATCTGTCCTATGGAGTAGCACAGTGTCTGTTTCACTTTCACCTTTGAACACAACAAAATTTCCGTTTGTTTGACCTTTAAAGTCTTTCAGACAATAGAATTTCATTCTTTGTATCGATGAAAATGGCCTTTTTTTCTGTGAAATTCTTTCAACTTTGCAAGTTTCAAAACAAGGAATACAAACAAGGCCAGCAGCCTGGATTCCCATTCCTGAAATAAAAAGTGAAACATACATCCTCTGGAAACGAACTCTCAGGTTCCATTGTTTAATCAGGGTCCACTTTTCAAACAGTTTCTATATCCTGTTTCCCGTGGCCCCACATTGTCTGCATTCCATTCTGCATAACACACTCCCCAAAAGTAGTATATCATGTTTTGATGACTGTAAGGATTTGCTCAGGTCTTGTGACTTAGAAAAGTGCATAACGTAAGCCGAGCAGTTTGTTAAATTCAACAACGTCATTTTGCGTGTATTGCCAAGTGCAAGATTTACCCTGCCCTATCAGTTGAATTGTTACCTTTGTTGACAAGGCCATAAAACAGTGAGGTTGGGTCCTCTAGAAGTTCTTTTGGACTGGCCAGCTCGGCCGCCTGACCACTGCTCATGACCAGCACCCGGTCGCTGTCCATGATGGTGTCCAGCCGGTGGGCGATGGTCAGCACCGTGCTGGCCGCAAACTCCTGCCGGATGGTCCGCTGGAGGAGACGGTCGGTTGCCATGTCAACGCTGGCAGTGGCTTCATCGATGCACAGGACCTGAAGCCAGGGAAGAAGGGAGCAATGGAATGATCAGATAGGTTGGCTGATTGAAGGAAGAGACTGCAACAACGATTAGATACGTTCCCGGAAATAAAATCGACAAATAAGAAGGGACTTGGCAGAGGGCAGATGTGGAAGGATTTGACAGTAAGATCATCTCAAACAATTTCTTTTACAGGATACCTGCTCCAAGCCAGAAAAAAGCAAGACAAAATGTTACATACGAAAACAGGATCTATCAAGCAGAAAACTAAGTAAAATAAGAACATCATGGAAAACACAGAAGACAAACTAAACCCCTCCGATGAAAAGATGGGGGAAACCTGGACATCTGGACTAATACTTCATAGAAAATCTAAACTGAGTCATATCATCTCTTTTCCTTGAGAATCCTCCTCACCTTGGCACCGGTGAGCATAGCTCTTGCCAGGCACACCAGCTGCCTCTGACCCACAGAAAACTTGCGGCCTTTCTCCCCAGCCTGAGCCTGCAAACCTCCCAGGCTCTCTACCACAGATTGCAGGTGACACTTCTCCAGCACCACCCAGAGATCCTTGTCTGAGAATCGTCCTGTTGGATCCAGGTTTTCCCTGATGGAACCGATGAAGAGGAAGGGATCCTGGGGTATGATGGCAAGCTTGGATCTGAAAAGTGCGGAAAAGAGCAAGGAAGTTTCATTTCACTTTTCAAACACTTTGGGAAAATCAAAGTGCCTGTCATGACACAAAAGATCAAAAAGGTCTGGAATCCGACCTTCTCTTACCTGAGTTCCTCCAATGACAAGTGAGCTATGTCAACTCCATCAATGGTCACCTGACCACTCTGTATTTCCACTAAACGGAACAGCACCTGGAAGAGTGACGACTTCCCTGACCCTGTCCTTCCCACAATGCCCAGCTTCTCTGCAGGTTGTAAGTCAAAGGTTACTCCATTCAGAGCATTTGGGAGGCTTGGACGATAGGCAAATGAAACATTCTTGAAGGAGACTTGACCATGCTGGGGCCAGGAGGGTGCTACCTGTACAAATGATTATCATAAGGTCATCCTAAAACACCAGAAGAAAAGAAATCATGGGAAAAACAACTACATGTAGATGCCGAATTGCCTAGTAGGCCAAAACAAGAAAACAGTCAAAGTTAAAGTTTGAATATGTGCTTCTCTTGGGAATTTCCGTAAGCTGTCAAAAAAGCATTCTTTATTCTACCAATGGTTTCCTAATAGGATACAGCATATTCAGTTTTAAACTGCCTTGTGTAATGCCCATTTCAAAAGTGGAACAGCATACTCAAGTAGGATTAATACACCGGCATCAACTAGTTTTGCTCGTAGGCTTGATCATATACAAAGGCAGCAATGGCAAAAGTAAACTTGAGGGCCACAATCCAAAATACGTAACAAGAGCAAAAATCCATTACATTAGACACTTAATTGGAAAAAGGATTTTTTATTCAATTTAATATTTGACGAGGCCAACTGGTTGGACTGAAAAACTTAGTGGTCCAATGGTTTAAACCTCTCTACAAGCACTTAAGATGTCTTGGGTTCAAGTCTCATCCAAGCAAACTTTAGGGATTTTTACCCACAAGATTTCAGACAGAACCGAGAGTCGCTGGCAAAGCAAATTTTCCAATAATCCAGACTTAAAAATTTACACCTTCTTTTGGCTTCAACTAAGAACACTACAATGACACTACGTCTACAACGCTGCAGAGCACAATGCATTTCTACAAATTAGAATACAGCATTCGTCTTTTAATAGACACTACTCCAATAAGCACATAGTGTGTCACTTAAAAGTCCTGAATAAACTTTATACCTGCAATCGCCCTTGCTGGTTCTCTGACGGCAGGTCTTTGATATACTGTTCAACTCGCTCCAAGCTAACCATCTTTTTCTCCAGTTCGGTGAAGACGGCCACCACCTCCTGAAGATGGTAGCTGATGGACAATGTGGAGGAGAGAACCAGGCCAACCAAACCTGTGCACAAAATCCCACAAGTTTCCATAAAAATTAACCAGTTTGTACCAATTAACATGAAGGATAAAAAGGGCTTGGGGAGAATGCAGCCAAAAGAACCCAACTGTTAGTCCATGAGCATATGAACACATCAAAACAAAATAGAATTTATGAGATACATCTAAGTAGATGCATTTTATAAAACTGAGTCCCTTGAGCTGTTCAACTTTTTCTGGATTGTGAAGAGAAGGCAATTCCGGCTTCAGAGACTAGCGATGGAAATTGCCCAGTCTCCTGCCATCATGAATGTGAAGGTGAAATTATCCAAAACCATTTTCAAAGAAGAGATTTTAGTTTCGTCATATGAGGAGGTTTACGAAATATTTGGTGAACCCTTATTTGTTAAGCCGGGGGCCCAAATGTGTACCTGGACTGAGGGTCTGGTATTGACGTCCCAAGACAGCTGTGACTGCTACGGTCGCAATAATGACCGCCGTCAGCAAATCGAGGCAGACTGCCAGCCAAATCCTCACTGAGAAGCCACAGAAACGAATCCTCTGGTTGGCCTCCAGCTTGGCGGCATTCTCCAATCGGAACCTGAAGCCAAGAAATGCTTATTAGCATGGACACGTAACCAGGCAAAAGGGAGTGGAACATACGACGAAGTCTCCAAGCACAATAGCAGAAACTGAACTGAGATATCAACCATATTTTGGACAGCAGGTTTACTGCCTGTTTGATCTCCCTCAAGTTAGTGCAAAACCTTAAGGCAAACATGGCGATAGCATATGAGTAACCTTAGATACACATAGGAGGGGTTGGTGACAACTTTGTCTCTGTCTTACCTTTCTGTGGCTCTGAGTGCCCTGATAGTCGGTAGCCCAGCCAGAGTCTCCGAAAAGTGGGCGTAGATTGGAGACATTGTCACACTTTCAATTCTGCCCAACTGGCGAGATGTCTTCCTGTAGTAGTTCTGAACAGAGAGCACAGAACAGTCTATAATTCAATGTTTACTTGCAGAAATTGGCAGTAAGTGCATCCCACACACCTAATTAGTAAAAGTGACTCAAAATGAATAATTCAGTGCTTTTCTTGCCGATACCTCTCTGGGTTTACTGTTGGAATTGCAATTAATGCTCTACAATGCTATACACTCAAGTTCAAATCAAGCACAGTAACCACAGTTATGGGTTCTTTGCTGAAATGTGACTGTGAATTCAGGAAACGGATGCAAGGAACAAGTCTGAATCCCTTAGAAGTAACACAAATCTTAAACTGTACCTTTCACCTTTTTGTTGTTTCTGAAGGGCATCGTCACCACAAGCTTAATGCCTTTTTCTGAAAGTACTCCACATTATTTCCCTTTTCACATATCAATTTCTTTTTTGTTATGTGTTGCATTTTCTTTAACATTTGTTGATGTCCTTTAATTAATCTTCAGAGAGAAGTGTGAAATAAATGTTTAGCTCACATGAAATCAGGACAAAAACAAGCTGAAATAATGAAATGAAAGAAACTGGCTCTGAGAAAGAACCCTTTGACATACCTGGATGCAGCTGTAGAGTATAAATATGGGGATTAACACAACAGAAAACCAGGGTATTCCGTAACAGACCAAGACCAAGGTTCCCACAGTGCCAAAGAGAAAAGACAGGAACCGACACAGGACATCAGGGAGGTTATTGTCGATGGTGTGTGTATCTGAGGAGAAGCGGTTGATGATGCGACCAATGGGTGTGGTATCAAAGAAGGAGACTGGAGCCTGTAATAAAAGTATCCAAGCAGTTTTTTAAATGATATCATTTTAGGGACGTTCTAGGAGTACATTTTTTTAAAATCACCAAATATTAAAGTCTTCACATAAAATGGTATTGAACTGGTATTCTAAACATACATTCTAACTAATTGAATTCTGAAACAGCACTTTCAATGTACTTATAACAAAACAGTTGTCCTGTTTTTTAATAATTTAAGATCTTTAAATCCATGTTATTCTTCGGCGTCATTTGTCTTAAAATAAAAACAGTACATGAACTTCAAAATGATTTTTTCACTGCAGACCCACACCTAACTGACTGATGAGGGGATACTGAAGACTGTTTTTACCTTCCAAATGCTGGACAAGAGTCCATTGTGAATGGTCTTGGCAGCACATAAGCCACCGTAAGCGAACAGGAAAGCTCTGAACAGCATAAAGATGCTGTTAGCTCCAACTATGCCGCCGTAGATGCCAAGGTAGAACATGGGGTTGTCAGCACCAGTTAGGTTCATCTCAGTCATCGGAACTTCCGCATGAGTGCTTATAACCAAACAAAAGTTAAGAGAGAAAATGACGTAAAGCGTAGAAATTATTTTTCCACATTGAATACATAATACTTTTGTTACAATTCTCCAACATTGTTCAACTGGATTTGCTCTTGAAACTTTTAGCAACTTAATTTTGAAAAGTATAAAATTGAGCTTAGTAAATATGGATTAAACTATTCCCATTATGACAAATGTTATGCTCTTCAAGCCCCAAAATGTCTCACAGTAACTATACATTGTTCTAGGAAAAGATTTTTGTTCAACATTTTATTAATATATGCAGAACCTTAATTGCTTCTAGCTTTTCTTGGAATGTGCAGTGATCTGCATGAATTCCTTTGGTACTTCTAGCTCATTACCTGGTGATATTTTCAGTACTAGAACTTGAATTGAAGGCTTCGTAGCTGTGAGAATGACTAACCCAGTAAGACAACCACCAATCGGCTATGCGCCTAGAAGCTGGTGGGAAACAAGAAAAAGAATTTTAACCTTTTTTTTCAGTCGTAGCAAAGAATTTCTGCAACAGGTTATAATCCACCATAGCTTATTCGGGTGGCCAAAATGATCAAAAACAACAAACTTACAGTGCTGAGTCACAACATATCTTGTGGGGTAACATATATATGTTAAGTGCTGTTGCATAATGTTTCTTGTAACCAGAAAAAAATCCTGTTGTCAAGGCCATCTAGGTATCTCCAGGGTGATAAAAGTGTTGTTCCTAACAGCAGTGTGAATTCTGCACAAAAATGCTTTCTCACTAGCAAACAACTTGAAGGCTGGTCCAACCGCCTGGCTCCAGACTCCATCATTACCATTCACAGAACATGCAATAAAGCACAGTCAACACACTGGCTTCCCTTAGACCTGCCTCTTCCCGTTTTACGTGCATTAAACAGATGCCTCACATATCAATGTGCAAAGTGCAAAAACTGTCAGCCAGACGTCTACAGGAAATAGGTCATTCCGAGGTAACATGGTTCCTTCTCTTTGCTCACCTCATCCACAGAAGCCCACTGTAGCTGTCTCTTCAACTCACCTTGTGTTAGAACCATAGCAACCAGGACACTGGTTGCCAGGGAGCAGCCAATGGCATTCCAGTATGCCTGATACACCTTGAATTTGACCATGCCAGTTACTTGCTCCTCCTCTTCCACCAGCTTGCCATCCTCCTTGCGTGTCCAGAGCTCCGCCTCCTCCTCCTCCTCCCCTGGGCTGTTTCCGCCCTCTCTGACCCCAGGGCCATTGTGCTGAGCTGCAGCCAGCAGATCTTTGTTTTCCAGAATCACTGTGGGATGTCCTATTAGAAAGAAAATCAATAATATAAGATTTGCTATGTGGTTTCCAAAGTGGACCGTCTCTAAGCTCTGGTTTTCATTTTGTGATTGACTGATATTTTTCAGGACTGGGACTCCTGTTGGCTGTCACAACTTTTTCAATAAAACGAATAAAGAAATTGTCTCATAAATGTATAAAATGTTTGCAACAAGTTACTAATTTCTGAATAACTGAATATTAGTCACAATAGTATACAAGCAATCCTTAAATAGTTGTCATTTGACAACATAGAGTGAACCTGGAAGTGGTCATGTTTTTAAGAAAAAGCTCAGGTTTAGTCATTTTATGAAACTTAAAAAAAATGGCAAGACTACGCCTGAAGTTTACTTAAGAATTGATTTCAATCTTGCACCTACCGGCATTCCTAATTACTCCACCTTCCATTACAATTACTAGGTCAGCTTCCTGTAGGTATTTGGTGTGGTGGGTGCAAAGGATTCTGGTCTTGTTTTTGAGCAATCCCATGATGCACTGGGAGAAGATGTGTGCCCCTACATGTGCATCTACAGCAGCCATTGGGTCATCCAGCAGATAAAGGTCTTTATCCTAAAAACGTAAATGAAAAATATGCTAACGAAATGTTTCACCCCAAAATGTTTGAGTTTCTGATAGTAAAATAAACGGACAGGTTGCCTAAAATGACAGTAAAGTACATCTGCAAGATTAAGACATCTGTTGTAAAATTACTTGCATGTGATCCACAAAATCCCTTCTTTTTTAAGTTTCAGGTCTCGATGGCGTAGCTTTCTAGCTGAATTGGTGGTATTAAGGGTAAAGTTGGATTTGAGGTAGCGAAAGCCACTTTTCCTTTATTCCTAAAAATATGGAAATGGTCACAACTAAAACAAGAGCTCCAATGGCTAAATCCATTGAGGTTTAAATGCTGCTTAATACCATCCTGAAAATAAGTCACTCTTATGCACTAACCTGATAAACGGCTCTAGCTAGGGCTACCCTCGCCTTCTGACCTCCACTGAGGGTCACTCCATTCTCTCCAATCTCAGTCAGGTCTCCTGCTGGTAGAGACTAGGGCAGAAAATCACATCAGGTGTGAATTGTATGCAATACTTTTCAAAAGTATAAAAACTGAGTGTTTGGAGGGACTGTCTCCCAGTTTTTTTTGTTTCAAAATTAGTCCATTTACCAGTGGCATAGAAAATGGTGCTGTCGAGTCAGCAGGAATTCTTAAATTTCCCAGCAATGGAAATTTGAAGGGAGACTGCAGACCATGTGACAACATGGTATGATGCTTTTCATGGTCCAGCTCTGCATCTTCTGCACAATGTACATGTCTATGAGAGTTCACATACCCTCAACTTTACGTCAAAGTTGTTTTGCAATATTTGTTCTCCGTTATTGCTGTGAGAAAGTTCAAATGATTCCAAAATACACATTCCTTCATTAAAAGTGCAGGGTGTAATAATCCTCCATCCCAAAGGCCTGTTTGCATTTATGGCCGAAAGTTTTGTCAGGAACAAGCAACAAAGCCAAAAAATTAACTTTTTTCAAGAAGAAATCACTGCCAGTGAAGCAATTGGACAAGAAACTCCTATTTTTTAACTCATCCTAAAAGAAAAAGTATCTTTTGTACTTTTCGCAGTGTGGAAGGTCTCAAAACTTTTAGAAACCCCATCAACAAAATCATGGCAGACCCTACAAAGAGACTTTGACTCACTTTAATATCGTCCTTGAGAGCGCATGCCTCAATGACCGCTCGGTACCTCTTGGCTATGAACTCTGTGCCAAACAAGACGTTATCCCGCAATGTAGCATGCTGTACCCAAGCCTCCTGAGGAACCAGGCCGAAGCCACTCATCAGGTCTGACACACTGATGGAACCACCGGTGTGGGTCATCTCGGCTGTAATCGCAGACAGGAGGGAACTCTTGCCAGAGCCCACGCAACCTATGACCCCGACCAGCCGACCCTGTGAATAAAAAAAAGGTATAACTCTGACGTCACAGATGCTATCTTATTTTCTAAGGCATGGGTGGCTACATTAACATTCTCTGGTCCTCTACAAATACGATTATGTAGAATCCCTTCAAAGAGACCACGGGAATTAATTTTCACAAAGCTATGGGACAAATCAAGTCCCACTCAAACTAGTTGCAGTGGGGAATGTCTTCACGGGCAAATTTTAAGACAAAACATTTAAACTTTCATGACTGGGGAATGTCTTCACGGGCAAATTTTAAGACAAAACATTTAAACTTTCATGACAGGTATCACCAGAACTCAAATGTTCATCACATTTACTTTAACTTTTGTTTCACTACATTCAAAGTTAAGGTTTTTCTGCAGGCCGTCAAATCTGACTGCATCCATTGCATGCTTATCACACTTCTTACAGTCTGACAGTGGTCAGCACACCTACCCGGCCAACACACAGATTCAAATTGGACAGTTTCAGGACACCTGTCCCCTTTTTTTCCAGATCCATCCCATCCGTGTCTTTCTCAGTTGATTTGCTGGTTTCCTTTGAACCCTCATCTGCAGCAGTATCCTCTGCCTTTTGAGGATGGTCCCACTGGAAGCTGCCTTGCTTGATCTCAAGATAGGAGTTGGGGTCTTCCATTCCTGAAAGCCATAGTTTTTGACTAGATATTACAGATGATCTTTGAGGCAGTTGGAAAACATAAGATTTTTTTTTTAAACTAGATTAAATTGGACCTAATATTACTTGTTTGCTTATTTTGCATTTACTTTTGTTAAAAATAAACAAAATACAAACAAAGCACCTGACAAGCCTTACTTGACAGAGACAGATTCTAGAGTATGCAAAAGTATGGACAATTTTAGGCAATTTGACAATATATATTCTGTTGCAATTAGAAGGCAATGCGTGCATGGGAAATAACTGACCAATATTAGAGTGGGTTGTACAAAGTCTGAATAGTAAATGAACCAAACTAATTTAGACATTTTTTGATAAAAGCTGAAGCTGAATTGCATAAAATCAAATGAGTAACTGCAAACATTTAAAGACAATTTAACTAGTCTTAATGACCATCAGCTCTTGAGGAGAGACCAAACAAGAAAGAAATGTTTCCAGGTAGCTTGGACCAACTGTTTCTGAAGTTCACACGGCAAGTGATTTGAGCCGTGGGACGTACCTTGTGATGAGTAGTAGGTGGAAGGATCCAGCTCCTCTAGGTCCAAGAAACTCTGAATCCTCTTGAGAGAGACTCGGCTCTCGATGACATCATTGATGAGCCACGGCAAGTAGTGCAGGGGACCAATCAGCATGTTAAAAAGAGTCAAGCTTGTAAAAACCTGAAATGGAAATGATCATGGAAAGGGCATTATCATTTTTTGCAGTACAACTTGTTCTTTTATTATGTTGATCAAATGCTGTATCTACATGTAGGAGAAGCTATGAAAACTTGATTGTTCAAATTCGTAAATTACAAAATTTCCTGAACACCGTCGGAACGGGCATATTGTACGACCAGAGCAAGCCACAAACCTTGGCAGCTGTTAGCTGGTTCCCCAGCAGCACAAAAGCAGCAAAAGAAGAGACAGCTATCAATATGTTTGCACTGTTCCAGATATACACAAACACAGCATGCAGGTATTTCAGTTGCTTCAGACGGCCCAGTTCACTGTCTCGCAGTTCCTCGATCTTCCGCATGAAGTGCTTCTCCCATGCATAGAACTTGATGACACGAATACCATGCAGGATCTCACTCATTAGCTGTCAGTGGATACAGACAGATATCGACAGATATCAGGGGTTAATATGCAATTTCCACCGTGATAAACAGGCCTTTGTTTAGGCTGTGAACATACAACAGACAATTGCAAATTCAGCAATGTCTGGTAATGGTGGAATGCACTCTGCCGGGTTTCCACACATGTTTATACTAGAACTATGACTCAACATGATAGCAACATTAAAATGTATTGATAGCATAACCATGGTAACCAGATGCATCTACATCTGCCCCCCCCCATTCAATAAGTTACATGCTTGTGCCATTCTTAGGTTTTCATTATAATATGAAATAGTGCATGTTTGACTATTACATGTGTGACCGTATAGCCACCAGGTCTCTTATTTCGCCACTCATTACTGTGAAAACAATCACACTTGACAAAAGGTAGCGAAATTAGGGACCTGGCCACTATACAGTCACGTACGATATAGTACCTACACTTTAATTCATTTGTGGTACTAAGAATCAATCTACTTACCTTGATCCTGCTGTCTTTGTGCTTCATCAGACCTTCATAAAATTTGTACATCTTGCTGGATGGCCACTTGGTTACAGCAGCCATCAGCACAGCGAAGACAACCCCTGAAGGAATAAAGTATATTACAATACCCAGAATTCAATGCAATAATAATTAAATATTTAGATTTTTCAGAGTTGTTATAGATGTAATTTCCAATTTTGTCCATTTATTTTTTTCAAAACCATTCCCATTGTTGGCTTCAGCACAAATTCAAAACACATGCAAACCAATCAAATTCACAAATAAATAACCTTAATCTGCATGGAAGTCAAAAACCAATGTTGAGGTATTCTGACCTGAAAAAATAAAGCCTTTTCTAAACTTGACAGTTAATTTTTTGAGACTGGTTAACTCCAAGCAAAACTACATGTCCAGAAGGTTAAGTTGAAAGGGCAAGTGCGTGCTAAATCAGCCTTCATCATCCTTAATTCCTCATATCAATTAGGTAAGTTATTTTAATTTGTGTGACAGACTACTGTCCTGCGATAGCTTAGAAGCAATCATTGATATAAGTATCCACAAAGTTGCTTTTCTGACAAAGCTACAGTAGTGGCTTATGAAAAGAGTTAACCACTTACAAAAATTGAAAGATAAATGCTGACAAGTGTACTCCCACAGTGGGTCTATGAACACTTTTCATGTTGAGTTTGAATAACCCCTTTAGGATAATGAGTAAACAGTTTTGTGAAGCTTACCTGCCAGAAATGAGAGCCCAAGTTGCTGGTACAAGAGAATTAGTGAGACAGTCATCTGGAAGGGGATACCCCACGATTCATGGAGACCCCAGCAGATGCCCTTCACCCGATCCACGTCAACGCTCATCATATTTGTGATCTCTCCAGTTGTGAAGCGAGAGGCTGCCGTGGAGCTCACTACGAGAGCCTTCCTGTAGATGGTGGTCACCAGGGCTGCCCGCATACGCGTTATCATCTTAAACGTCTGGTAATGGTAGTGGATTGACACAAACGCATGCAGTAGAGTTGAGAGCGAGAGGATGAAGGCATACAGCAGACCATTCTGAACTGGTTCCTCACCGTCTTCGATGAAAGTCACCAAGGCATTGAGGAGAAGAGGTCCAGCATATCTCGTTACATACAGACAAAATTTTGCAACACCAAGAAAGATGAAATGAACCCCAAAAGCTCTTACAAGTGCCCTCAGAAGTGTGGGTCTCTCAGACAGTGTTGATTCAGACTTGCCTCGGCTTCGCCAGCCGAATACACTGAAAATCTGCTCTTTGGAAAAGGCACATCCTGCTAGAGTTTTCTTTTCCAGTTTCGACAAGTCATCTGCCTCCCTGTTACCAGTGACTCTGTCAGCCAGTTCGCCATTCAAGATCCTGCCAAAGTAGTCTTGCACATTGAGGGTTTGTAGGTACTTGGGCAGACGAAATACATCGTCCGCATTTCTGAGCTTGCCCTGTGCCCCTTGTTTCAGCAGGGGCCGGATCCACCACAAGAGCAACTTGGATAGGAAGCCAGCCTCCTCAGCAGCAACACCCAGATCCGAAACAACACTGCACTCTTCATCATGGTTGCCCTCAAAGGCTACTTGCTTTTGGTTATGGGATGGCAAAAGCAACACCAAGTACAAAAGCTGAAGAGCAAATTCGACGAATGTCAGAATTCTGCCAACCTCCTCTAACTCTAACTGGTCTTTCTGAGCAATGTAGCCAGTAACTTTTGCCACTCGCACAACGGTAGACAGCAAAGATAGGGTCCACGCAAAAAGGACCGGTAAATAACCCCTCACAAGTTTTTGCCGGGCTTTCAGCAGTTTCAGAAGGTATAGAGCGTGTGCCGCCCATGCAAAGAAAGCACAACCATCTCTGACACTGGGAAAAGGTGCAATCAGCTTTACCGAATGGGTTAAGTTCAGAATCACCCCTATTACTGGCAAAAAGCTGCTGACGATAGACAAGGCAAACCTTGCACGCAAAGCCCAGAATCTCTTCAAGTTTTTATGCTCTGAGTGCTGGATGTGGCCAATGGACAGGCCACTAGCGACGGCAAGCAGGGCATAACTAGTTACATCAAAGTCTGGGAGCTCCTTACAATAACTGTAGGCTTTATCAGCCCAGAAGAAAGAGTCATTATTTGGAGGCCAACAAAAGTCTTGTAGATCTACTTTGGCAGTCATACTCTCAATGTGCACTGAAGTTTGAACACTGAGATTTTGTCCTTCCTATACAATCCAGAAAATAAAAACAGACAAAATTTCAGAGCGAAATAAATTTAGTTTCAATTTCATATTTATTTTTGGGTGGATTTGCCAAACATGCTGAAATGCAAATACTGATTAATTTACAAGACATAATCTCCGGTGACGTAAGGCATCCCTTCAGTTGAATGTAAAGGGGTATCCCTTGATCATGTATTTTAAACAAAGATTGGACATTATTTCCACACTAATTACTTCAACTGCACAATAATCAGTTCGGGCCTGCTTTCTGCTTTTTTAATCCAGCACCTGAGAGGTTGGTTGGGATACAGCTATCAATTCTCAATTGCTTTAGACAACAAGCGGGCTATTCCTGCTTTAGTAATATTTTTATGGAGACAACTTTATAATCTACAATAAAAATTGGTTTATAATACATCACTTCTAATCTTCTAAAGACAAAGCGTTTGATCGTTTGTTTCATGAGATTTTGTTTTCCAGATGTTCCAACATGTTCGCAATTTGATTTCTCCCTCTTGAATATCTCCTAAAATTCAACCAAGAAACCAAGAAATAGGGGATCCAATTAAGCCATTACATTCATAACAAACAAGATATATATCGTAAGTCCCCAGTCACGATACAGTTGCTCCATGGAGCTGGTCACATTCGAATTTTACAGATTCTGTTCCCTGTGGCAGAATGTTTGTCACACTTGTTGGGGTGCAAAACACATCAATCATCAAACAACGCGAGGTTGGCTAATTTAAATCATACGACGGATTTTTTCACAAGCCTTCGGGGGCAAACACTGAGTAGGCCCTATATAGTGTTATAATAATACACGTCGGGCAGGGCACAAATTAAATTAAATCATACGATTTTTAAATCACTGATGTAAATCAAGTTTGTTTTTGAAAGGGCAAAGATGGCCTTTTTTCACTTTGTTCGAGTGATTTGAATCTTTCATCGTTCATTTCGGGTCACTTATTTTTCTTAACAAGTTTGGGATACAATGTATTGAAGTATATTAATCTGAGTTTAATAATGTGGTAAAGTATCGGTGTACATCCATATTTTATCTCTACGGGTATTTTATTGGGATTAATACATTTTATGTGGTTGACAGCAGTTTAGGACAAATTCCTAACAAATTAAACTTGAACGCTGGCCGAAACTTAGACTTAGTTTAAAACCTGGAACCTTGGCACATGTATTTATAAGTTGACAAGGAATTGTCAACTCTATAGTTCCTATAGACAGCATGTATTTCACCTTGGCTGAGGGCGCTTATTAATTTCCAATATTTAAATCTCCTAAGTTTAATCACAGTTTCTTAACTTCGCAACAAATGAAAGAGAAAATAGGCCTAAGCAAATATGACACATGCAGCTAAATTGTTTGAATTAGAACTGATGACTAAGCCAATCTGTCTCTAATTAAAACAAATGAATGAATAAATAGGAATTAAATAAAATAATATGATTTAAGAATTTAAATCCAATTTTGGAGTCTTTCATTTAAAAAAATAAAAATCACCATTACTGTCTCCCAGTCTCATTTATGTACGCTAAGTGTCTGTGCTGCACCCTGATACTGCGCAGGAAATAGATTGAACATTATGGAATGGTTATTAGCTGGCAAACATTTTTGGGGTTAAACGAAATAAATGTCGCCCTGCCTGCGAGCGAAAAAAAGGGTGCAAGTAGCCTACCTTCAAAGACCTCACCGAATTCAGAGCTACAAGACTTGTGGCAAGTTGCTAGTTGTTGGTTGCATCTGGGTCCGACCCAATTTCAACCTCAGGAATGCAGGGGGAGCTCTATTTATATCTGGCGCGCCAGCCAGCGAGGGTCACAGCATCAACAGTCCCAGGTGCTGGGTAAATCGCTGTTGCTACGCGGGAACAACAAACGGATAGCGATTATGTAATGCTTGTCCCTTTAATGAGTCACACGAGGTTCGATAGCCAGCTAAATATAACCACCGCTCCGATGCACGTGAGGCTTTAGCGAAGCTTGTACACAGAAGACGCTCTCCGCAGCTGCCCAGGCCAGTACCAGTATAGATGGAAATCGTGTATTTTTCCCGCACAACCCATATCCAGCCTGGGGGGAAGTTGCTCCCGAGGAGTCTTTAAATCAAATATTGATAATAATAATTCATTTATCACATATTAATACAAAACCCTAAGAAAACCACAGTACGGTCATGCCGAAGCCATATTCGCTCCGCATGTTCAACTTGAGGGGACTGGCAGTGGCAGCTTTGCGCCCGTGACATAAATTAGACATGTCCAAACTGTCAGTAAATGAACTTGTTTTATGTCAACATGACTACCTGGAGAGAAGTTTGAAGTATTGATAATGGCAAGCACTACAAATAAGGGTTCAAAAGATTCTATTAAACAGAATTTACGCGAACGACATCAGTCTGGGGTTAGGCCTAACAATGTTATGCATGTTCTTGCAAGTTCCCATCAACCACGGAAGTCACCCCGTCCATTCCCGGTCTGCAACTCACAAATTTTTGTATTTTCTAATTTTATCGTCGTAGTCACCCATTTGTGCGTCGGCTCAAATCTAAGCCAATTTTGCAAAACACTTCTAGCCCGCATATTCGGAGTCTGTTAGTATCGATTAGCAAAACAGGCAATCACTTTCTTCCAACTTTTTCCACAGTGCCCGGCCACCTGATCAGCAGCGTAATTAAGGAACTTCACTGTGCCCCCGCCCCCATGAAAAAAGGTCGTCAGCCATGTCGTCACCCCCGCTTTACTTGAATTTGGAAAACAATTGAAAATTTGAAAAGAAAGTAATAACTGTGACTTGCGCCAACCAGCACTGTCACGCCCAGTTTAGCTTCCTACCCCCCCCCCACGTCTATGGCCTATGCCATGCTGCTACTTCTGGTCGGTGAATGCGCGCCCCGAAACCCCTTCGGAGTTCAAAACTGACTCGGACCATTACGTCAAATTCTTTTTAAAGAAATGATAAACAGCCCTTGCAGAATGGAGGGCTCATTTTGTATTTTGGGGTATGAGGTCACCTCCATAATTTATTGTTCTCACAACAAGCACGGATTGAACGCGTGATAACCTGTTCCTATTCAGTGTCGTCGAAGTCGACGATACCTGTCTGAAATTATATTCTTCCTCTAGAAAGTTCCAATGACGTAATGATCAGTTTATAGCGGGATCACTTATCCCTTGAGACGTCCATCCTTGGCAGACTCAATAAATACATGTAGTATGAGCTGACAATGCACCATACCGCCAGCCATATGTGTAGACGTAGACACCGAGAATGAATGCCTGTGAAAGGGGTTGTGACGTAATGGTCAGTGTTTGGACTTTGGGAGGGTCTACAGTGGTGTCCAAGTAAAGGGACACTGACCAGAAGAAGCACATGAGCAGCATAGCCAATTTATGTTACAGTGCGGGTGGACAAGTGGCAATATTTTTATCAATAACACGGACTACAATGACTTTTCTTTGTTCGCCAAATTTGCTCTGACGGGGGATTATTTTTGTGGGGAGAGGGGGCGTGCGCCCCGAAGGACCGTCCCGGCTGCATGTGCCGCTGCTGACCGCAGTGTGAAAAAACTTGCGAAAATTAATGTTAATTAAAAAGGATGCCGCCTGCTAGCCGATCCTAACATATATATTCTTTAAAAAACAACAGGGATTAAAAAAAACCGGGACTAGAATTATTTTGAGCTGGCCTAGAATTGAGCTGACAACACCTGGCAAAGCCCGAGCGATGGTGATGACATGAGTCATTTAAACTTAAAGCTTTTCCTGCACAATGCATGCAGTGTACATAATCACAATATCCCAGCCCAATGTCATTTAATACGGTGTATATACATTTTGCATGAAATTTCAATCTTTAAGGTTGCAGACCAGTAAATTAGCTGCCACAGACAACAATAAAAAATATCTCCATTTCAAAAACATCAGGAAAATACTAGTTTCACAAGTGTTCAAGACACAAATTTAAGCTTACTTCCTCATCTTTCATTTCCTTTTCAATTATCATTAGCTTAACTGATGACTTTTGAACATATTTCTCTCCAGAGAAAATCACCCCTCGAAAATTCGGTCACGAGGCCCCTCCGATTGTCACCATTTTGAAAATTGATGTCTATACTCCATTGCAAAAAAGGGAACAATTTGGAGGGCCCCGTTTCGTTCGATATTTTCAGAAATACAAGCTGGCAGTCCTGCTCCAAAATTCCATCTTCTTCCTCAACAAACCACCCAGTCCACGTGCCACGAAATGCTTTAATAGCAGAGAATTTGGCAGCCTACAAATCGTGATTCGGTCCGCGTAGGCACTGTTGGACCTATTCACTGGCCTGCAATCCTTAAGAGACCCCTTCTCAGTACGGCGGCGCTCTTTATCCCTAGTAACTTCTCAATTTCAGACGTTTGACTTCTTTTGGGCGCAGTCATTGACCAGAGGATTTCATTAATAATTCGAGGAGTCGGGATGTGAGGAGAATGAAGTGCTGAAGCAGACAATTCAGAATGGCACAGTGGTACGCGTACGCCGAGGAGGAGCTGAAAAGACCAGCACTGAGGTTGGCAAGCTGGTCGAAGAGGTAGGAAAAGACAAGCGCGTGGTCAAATTGGAGGCGTATCAGGTACACTGGATTGCCATTGGCTGTTTCATGGTAACTGTCACAAGACGGGTTTAAGATTATTTCTTTCACTTGAGGACTTGTCCAGCAAAGATAATTGTTATGTAACTTAGGAGGTTGCGACCAGTTATTAGATTCTTTCTGTTATGCACTCGTGACCAGGCTCGTGTATCCTTTGTTCATATAGGCCTAGTTCTTGCCACGGAGCGTACATGTAAAATGTATTAATCGGGTAACTGGCACTCCAAGAGATGAAAGGGTATATAACCCGCGCCCACCTTGTCTGAATTGAGTTTTGCGGTGTTGGAGCCGGAGTGACTGTGTCTCGCCGGGCTGAGCTTTCGTCGAGCAGATGTTTGAGGATCCTTAAGCACTGAGGCTGTCGAGTTGGGAGCTGCGGAGGGCCGTGTGTCGGGTGGACGTCCCTGTTCGCCTGTGTGAGGGGTGTTTTCCGCTTGTGGGCGATTAAAGCCCTTTACTTTTACCCGCACTGCAAACTCCCGGGAACGCCACACCCGCGAGGATAGGCCCGGGTTTAGCCAACGGCCTTGTGAGTAAATTTGACAATATTTATGCCATGTTTAATCATTGATCTTGTACTGTATAATTAGAAGAAATTATGTTTCTTGCAGTTGGGGTGAAACCTTTACCGTGGCAAAATTAATTTCAGATTTTATGACGCTGTAGCCTTTCAAAGTTGAGCAGAGAAAACTCGCCATCATCCCGCAGTTTATAGTACGGTGAATCGAGCCTGGATTCTGAAAGAAAATGTTAAGGCCGAGAGTTTATTAGAGGAAAATATTGTATCTTATGCATTATAGGGTATCCCGTAATTCTACCCTATGTGTGCTACTGGCGGGGCGGCTACTGTCCCATTTCCTTACGACCCTGATTTTGATGAATGCTAGCCTCAACCATCACTTACCCTCCGATGGTCGGTGCGTAGGGACCTACCCAAGAAACATAACAAGCCTGGGGACTTCCATCTCGCATTCTGGTGGCCCGGTGGATTCACCTCGTGCCGTTGCTCCATGATCACCATTATTTATATTGTATTTAAAAGAGCTGTGTAATATTTGTATCGTATTAATTTCTCTGCAATGTAATATCTTGAGCCATTTTCCCGCTTAAGGAATAGCTCGTTATGTTTCCTCACTGGCCCCGTTAAACTGACCGATAAGTGTGTGTAAATACTTTAGTTTAGTTCATTTTTTTTCTTGAAATAAGTAATTCATTTTTATGTATTGCAGATCTTGTGTTTGGTCTTCTGTTGGTCTGGGTAATTCTTCGATTTTTAGTCTGAGTGGAGTGGTACTAGGGTTCGCTCTGCGACAGTAACTGTTTCCTGACATGTTACTAATTGCAACCTGATATGTTTATAATACAAGCTGGTCATACATTGTGTCCTTTTACGAGGGTGGAGCTTTGTTACCTTTTTCCTGTGATGTCACTATCGTGCTGGACCGCTAGGGCCCATGTGTTGTGATGGTAATGATGCTTATCTACCTCAAGATGAATTAGTAAGCATGCAGCGTTCGCATGTGTGCTTGCACGTGGTTGAAGATGCCAGTAGGGATGTATGTGATCACCATAGCCAACGCATCGAGCGCCCTCACCGAGGACATGTTTTGTTATTTAGATTTAGATGGCAATGAAGTACAACAGTGAATACTCAAGCATGTAACGCAGGAACAAATACCTGTCCTCGGTGAGGGCGCTCCACACAGGCCCTCTGTAGAACATATCATATACATAATCCTCTTGCAAGTGGCACCCCTGCTCCACCCGGGATTTACGCCCCTGATGCTAATTCACACCATGCCGTTTAATTCAATCCATGGGTGGAGAAGAATGAGTCTCAACCCCAAGCTTTTGACGTACCGCGAAGACTGTCATCTTTGGATTTGTCCCCTGCGGTCAAGTCTTTGGTTGCGGAAAATGCTTTGGTAAAAATTGGGAAGTCAGTTCTCTTTTATCATCAGCCATCCTGTTAAAGAGTGCATAGTTTTGAGGCCCCGTGAAGCTTGACTGCACTGTATCATTCAGAGACGTGATTCCAAAATGTAAGTAGTGAATCAATTTGGACGTAGGACGCCAGCTTACAATGAAATAAAGGCCCATCGGACACACTCAAAACAATATCGACGAGAATATAATATCAAAACAGTGCTCTGAAATATGTGATTGCCGAGCTTTCGGTAACTGCTTGCTTGCCCTGAAGAAGGTACTCAGTTACCGAAAGCTTTTTTGTTTATACGCACAATTGCTTAATGCTAAGATAGTCATTGGTTAACGTATAAAAACACTTCATGTCTAATTTTTACTACAGAATTCCTGCATGAGTAAGAGAAACTTTAAAAACAAAACAGCCCGTAACTGCTCTCGTGAGTTACTCTGTCTTTAGCCAAAGGATTAATGCGTTTTTTTACTCTTGCATATGAAACTTAAACTGAATCACCACTTTAAGGCTGTAAACGAGGTTAGTTGAAGCATGGTTTCTTGCTCTATGGTGGAAATGTACAAACTAATTTTTTTGAAACGAAGGAATCGAGAGAAGGTCTTTTTGTCAATGTGCATTAGAAATCCCCGACTCTTTTTCTCGTCACGTCAGGCGAGTAAACTCCTCTGATCATTGATGAAAGATGCTCGGGTCACATCTAAAAAAGTCCTTCTTTGTATTGAGGACATAAAATCAACTCCCAAGGATTTACAGCATAAGACTTTAAACTTCTAATGCATTTAAAATCTGTTACAGTATTTGACAATAAGAAATACTGATACATAATACGGTCGTTTCACATTAGTGCCCCTCCAAGAGTTTGCAACGCGTGGGCCAATCACACTGCGCAAAATCCGTCGACCCAATGCGCGTTTGGAACGGGTCAACAAATTTCGCGCGTTGTGATTGGCCAACGCGTTCCAAACTCTTGGAGGCGCACTATTGTGAATCGCCTGTATTATTGAGTGGCTTTGAATAATAATACACATACTACATAAGTAATGCTAGCCTGAGTTCTGAAGTTCAGATTACACAGAAATGAATATCATGACAAATGCCGTATAAAAACCTCACTTACTTGGAATTATGGACACAAGATGTCACAGTTTCAACCGTTAGAAGTCATTGGTAACATAATGTGTCTTTAAGTCGAAACCACCTGATACTGAAATGAGCGCCTCCCGAAATGAGTAAAAATGAATGAATTTCTTCCCGATTCGCCTGTGATCACTCTGTGTTTTCCAAGACTATTTTTGTGGTGGGAAGCACTGTGTCCGTTATTGTTTATTTTTTGTTCATTTTGGGGGGCTTAACAAAATTTGTTTTTATCCACTGTTGTGGAGGAACCCTCTGATCCGACAATCTGGCTTAAAGATCACAGCCACGCACTGACATGTGCGAACGGTCGGATGGATATACCTCTAGATTGCATTCCAGCCTGATCAGTGAACTGAGCGAATGTTAAAGGTTTACATGATCGAACTTTTTAAAACAGGCCCACAACCCCTTGAAAATCTCGTAAATGTAGCCTACGCTTATATGTTTGTACGCCTGTATGTTTTGAATTATTTTCAAAGTCTGTGTGCTATTTTAAAGGGAATCTTGGCACATTTCGTTCGTAATCGTGCTCATGTAAATTTCCATATTTATGAGCAAAACATCACAGTGAGACTGATGTCATCACAGACCTCAGTGGGCCCTAAAACTGCTGGAATTGTCGTCCTTGTTTGTTAGTACATGTAGCATGAGTGTAAGCCAGAAAGCAACCCTTTCTCAGGTGTGTTTTCAACGAGAAAATTTTTGGTTCACAATTTGAAAAGAAATGCACAAGTGTCTTCCTAGTCTTGGTTCTGAGACCTTCCAGTATCTCATTCCGCCACACGAACCACCACCAGACGAATCGGCTAAAAGGAGAAACGCGAAGGTCTTAGGCCGTGTCCGAAACGGGCTTCCAGAGCTACGGCTAGGTCTATTGTCTACGCGTCTCAACGCATTTCTAATGGAGTGAAGACCTAGACCTAGTTCTAGACAAGAAATTCGGATGCAGCCTTAGAACCAAGACTGGCGTCCTCCGTGTACGTTATCATAGCAAGAGCACCCTCAGTTGTCATGAAAAGCGTATACATGTACATGTACAATCTACCTCTTTGAAATGTTATTTTTCAGTAGGCCTACACTTAAACCACAAAAGCATATCAAATAGTTTTCAGTCACCGATGAAATGAAGTGTATTAAGTTGCGCAAAAAAATGCGCGTAAGTGATTTGAAGTGATTTTGCAGTACCCGCTACTACTGACTCGGATCGGCCTCCTGACCCCGGCAAGCTCAGTGGTTGAGTAGTGATTAGGACATCTGCATCAGTAAGCAGGGGATCGTGGGTTCGAGTCCCACCCGAGTAAGCTTGTGATTTTTTCACAAGCTCTTCGACAAACACTGAGAATACTGCGTTAACTAAGATACGTCGGTGTAAGGGCAAAACCCTTAATTGAAATCGCCTAAGAAAGGTTTATCGCATATGAACCCATATAAACAGGCCTTATTATATTTCATTCATTTGCCGCACAGTTGAAAAATTTTTGAGAGAAAAAAAAAGACAAAATGCGTGGTTTAATCTTCGTTATTGTCCGCCAATCCTTTACCATGAATAAAGATAATTGATTGAAATATCATCACATAGAAGCTTTTGTTACATAAATTCTTTGTAACCAGTGTTGGAAATGAAAACTAACTCTATTTTTATGGTAGAGGATCGAAGATTTCTGTTGCTAGGCGAACTGAGTGATCCTTAAGACGACTGCAGAACTCACCACGAGCGGTGGCAGCCAAAGGCAGGCCTGCGTTGATCGTGCCGCATTACAGCCGTCCGTACCGCACATGCAGAACGTGTGCACTCCAATAATCGCTGTGTAGTTACTTCGGACGTCGGAGAACTCTAAGGGTTCGCTGGTCTCCTCAGTCAAAAAGCAGTCGCTCCCGAAAGTGAATTCGAGTGACCAGCTGCAGCCGCGAATTATGTGGTTTACTTGTATCTGCATGGCTGAGGATTCGCTGGTATCTGAGCGAAAGAAACTTCGCATTAATTAAACACAATAATGTGAAGGTCGTTGTTGAATTTTCAAACAGAAAAACTTTTAGGACTGGTATTGCACCCCCCCCTTCTATTGGCCAGCAGATCGAAAGCCTTGACCAACTTCAGAAGAGATCGCACACTTCTGGCATTCTTGAAGCAAATTACAGCATTTGAAACAGGCGATACGCAAAAAGAAAGGTTATTTTATTCAGGAAATTCGTTTCTTTAATTCAGTTTTCTACCAAGGGCGAGTAAAAAGGCCCAACTTGTAATCTCAACCTTCAGAGAGGCCCTTAAAGATCACATGAAAATTTACAAATGTATGGCGCCGTCCCCACAAAAAACTCTCGATCAACCTCTGTATTACGTACGTAGAGCGATTTTAGCCCTCGTTCATGCACTTTCACTCGTCTTCTCTTCTGGGGCTCAATGTATGGTCGGAGCAAACGTCTGATTGGAGCCACCTCTTGCAACAAGGCACAGACAGACAGTTATCAATGGATCGATATTTTCATTACAGATCTTTTTATTACGCATGGGCGTAAATCCGGGGTGGATGGGGATATTTGCCTTCCCACTTTTTGAGGTTGGGGATGGGCTATTAAATCATCCCCCAATTTTTTGTGGCGAGCAAAACAAACCGGGTTGAAAGAGTTTTTCAGACTTTAAAGGAGTAAAATGCATGCAATATCACTCAAACAAGAAAAATTTGATTTGAAAAGCCATGAATATGCCGCCCTGAATGTATAATACAGATGTACATCAATCCCATGAACATCGACCATAATAGAGTCCTATGGTGTCAACCCCCCCACCGGTTTTCATGGCCGGGCAAGTCACCCCCTCCCCACCTTTCCCCGTCCCCCGTCCCTCCAATTACCGGTACAGATTGACGCCACTGTTAGTACGAATTAATAACCTTACCCGTTATTGTGATCGTGTCAACCATTTTTACGCAAACGGGATTCTGGTCCACTGTATCGTTTTCCAGGGGTTGGCATTCCACGAGTGTTACGTTCTCAACGTTCGCCCCGCAATCAGATTCGGTCCCCAAGTCACTTCTGTAGATATCCACGCAATCGTAACATTTTAGCGCAGAACCTGAAATGAGACGTTCCATGCTCAAAATGTTATTGTGATTCTCATTTTATATATATATTGTATATATATTGTGCGTAGTTGTAACGTTTTGCTAATTTTTATCATATTTTTTAATGCAAAGCGTCACTGACAATTTAGTTTTAAATGACGCTATAAAAATTATCATCATCATTATTAAAATGTTATTGCGATTCTCATTTTTAAAAGAATGGGTCTGCCATATGGTTTTGTAAGTTTAGAACACATTCTTTAAAATTCCGAGATTGATTCAATGATGCAAATGACCTGCCAAATTTGGACCCCCAATTTATAGCATGACCGAATGTCCGACTTTCTATCGGATACCAACCACTCCGCTGTCACAGTAAAACCTTTCCGATGCGAAGTATTGTCCGTCCTTGACGTACATTGTGTCTATGAGGTCACATTGTAAACGAGTTACCAAATTGGCCTGAATAGGCCTATTACACTGTCCTCTTTCCTGAAGGGTTGCCCACGAGATGTCAAGAAGTCATAAAGATTAGATTTCTTATCATGAGATTTCTAATTTTCATTTGACATTTTACCTGCCTACGTCTCAAACACTGTCCATGCTTGCCAACTTCTTCTCAGCTAAAGTAACTAACATTCAAAACGAAGCACTTGTTTTCACCCCCTAAAAAATCCAGTTCGTTGTTCTATATCCGTATTTGAATTCAACACTCGCATATGTACGGTCACTTATTACACTTTACAACTGTCAAATACAGGATTTCAAAATGTTGAATCCCACATTTACAATTTTTAAAGTAATTGGAGAGTTTGTGCAACCAATTTAGTCCTCGAAATTGTTGAAACAATATCTTAAACGTTGAATTTACCATTCAAACGCTAAATTTCTTTTCTCTTCTCGTTCCTTCTCTTCAATGTTATTTTTAGTCAATTTTCAAATTGCCAATTTTTCTTCTTGTCACAGTCAGTGCTCATGGATTCACAATTTGTCAACAGCTGAAACGACTCTGTCACTGTTTGTTACAACCGCGATTTCTGGTCTTTCTCTGTTTTGCAGATGGAAGGATACCATTTTACCATGTCCTTTCCCCTGTAACAACCCCACACTAAAAAAAACGAAATTAAAAAAACTTGACTTGGCCATTCCCACGTTAACTTTCCTAGTCCGTTTCCTATGGGCTGGGATAAAAACATGTCGATGTATTGTTCTTATCACCTGTTCCACCTTTAGTATAGTGGTGGTAAAACTGGTACAAGCAAAATTTGATGGACACGCAAACAGTATTTATAGAGAGAAAACTATTTTGATCAGCATCTACCAACTTACTGGAGAGACATCCGTCTGCCCTCCCCCCGCCGGTAGGCCTACTTCTCGGTTATACTCTCTCTGATTCTAAAGTGATATATTTTCGTTTTATTCGCTCTGCGATAGATCTACATCAGCCTAGTCTCGGGAAGCTAATTTCAGTTGAGAGAAAGACATGAAAGAATCTCTTCTAAATTGAATTTAATTGATGGATTAGGTATTAAAGCAATTTGAAAATTTGAAACCCCTTACGCCTTCTCTTGCCAATTAATCTAACACACATTTCTCCACGCTGACGTCAGAGATAGATTATAACCCATATCGATCATTTAAAAAGTGGAGGTAATCAATTAAACAACTCGATTTTGAAAACGTGGAAAGGGGGAAATGAAATGAAGCACTCTTGGTGAAAGATAGAATAATACAATAAGCACACCGACAGGGAAGGATTTAAAACAAAGTGGGGCTATCTTTTTCTGGATAAAAGTGATAAATCACTATAAAAAAAAGCAATAAAGTGTCATTTTGTATGAACATGTGATCCTCACAAATTCGCTTACCTTGATCGCAGATAACCACAACGATTGTGACTATCATAATCACTGAAATCCCTGTATGGAACAAAAGAAAAAAATGATAATAAATTCATTAAATAGTCTGAATTACAATCTCATTGGGGTACAGGAATCACCGGGGGTAGAGCAGTTTTCTACCCCAAATTAAACTCTGCACAACCCCTCACTATGGGGCACCATTTTGATTTTGTGAGGAAAAATACAGACAGAAACCAAAATGAAAATCAATTTTACAGGATCATGCGTATGGATACCTGAAGAAAACTGGTACAAATAATATGAAACAAAATAATTTAGAACGAAAAAAGAAGGCGGTTTTCAAATTCTCGTCTATTTCTCCATGACAAGAACTGTCTTTGAAATGGATCCGCAAATCGAGGCCTACAGTGCTCCAATAAAACAGAAAGGTCGAGTTCGGGCGCTCTGTTCTCAACAGAGGTTTCTTGTTCTCGCGCTCGAACGGTGGGAACACGACTCAAGAACGCTGTTCTCGGAACAGGATCACACACCACCTCCTCGTCAGGGTTTTACAAGAACACACGGAAAAACTCGTGAGATTTGATTTTTGAACAGCTGCAAACATGGCAAAAAGTAGAGTGGTGGCTTGCAAAAGTAACATTAATTATTCTTCATAACACAGAAGTGAATGTTTCTCTTTAAACAGAAAGGTAATCAGCCCAGTAATCCAAACATTAACTCTCGAATAACGTACATTGACGCCGCCATGTTGCATGTTGCTTGTGACTATTAACTACCAGCAATAACCGGGTGTACGTTCCCGGCGTTCGAGCGGCTGACCCAAGAACAAGTCAAGCTGTTCGTGAACATACGAGAACAAGCCGCACGAACTAAGCCAAATAATTTTGTAATGTACTGGTATATTACAAAGCGCCACTTACGAGAAATAAGCGTCAGGTTTCAATATTTCTAGAACGAAGTAAGAATCTTGTCGATGTTTGCAGTGCATCATGGGACTAAATGACAATCAACTAATGCATTTCATACAATAAAGCCTGAAAGTAAAAGGTCGCTCAGCGAGATTTCTTGAACACTCGCGCGGTCTGCCTATCGATCTCCGTAAAGTTCGCTCACGCAAACAAAATGTGCCACAAAAGATCTCAACACTTTTAGTAGTCAACAAAATGTGCAACAAATTAAAATAACTACAGTTATCAACATTGCAACTTTAAAATAAGATTTTTAGATTTTAAGATCTGATGCACATGTATGATGCAAGCTCTTATTTTCGGTTAGGATGTGCGATATATTACAGTACGTCTCACACTTTAAATGTACTTAGATTCAATTTTAGTTATATATAATTATAAAAGAACCGATCGTGCTGAATATTTCTTTACTTATTTAAAAACGTGTATCCTTGGGTTTTTAATTATACCTCGATAGGTTTCTTTACCAAGCATTGTTTCAGGGTAATCCCCACAATATTGCAAACGCGCAAGAAAATGGAGACAATCCTTTCGGAGGTATGGGTAGGAAACGTCTGGAGTACCTTTTAGACCAATCCTTAAGCTTGTAAAAGAGACGAACTGTCAAGCCCCCCGACCCCACCCACCCCAACCCACACAGCGAAGGGTGTATTTGCCTGCAACTGGGGACCTCCTATTGTTCCTCTTTTGTTTGTACTTTAACTTTTTTTAGAAGACCACCAATATGTTTTGTACACAGTTGTCAATCGGAGACCCTCTGTCAATCGGGGACCTTATTGTCCTCTATTGTTCAGGGTCCCCAATTGAATGCAGAAACAAGCTCACCCACACCCAAAACGTTTTCGTCGTAACATCGCTTCAGCGCCAGCCTTACGGTACATTGCGGTCTATGTGAGGCATGCGGCTCGCGCAGTTTAACTCGATTTGTACTTTGAATATGGCTACCCATGAATATGTGTACCTGGCCTTCGATCGTTGTGGGTGGCGCTTTGTTTCATATTTGATTCCAGCAATCCTTGTTCTCTAATGTTGGCTTATATTAATTGACTTTTTTGTTTCGTTTTAATGATAACATAATTTCCTTTTTATATTCTTTCTTTTATATGCAGACTCTGTTCCATGTCTCTACTTCTGGTGAATTCGTCTTTGTTTCAGTTTGTGTGAAATACGAGTTTCGTTGTGTACATCAGCTATTTTACACATAATTTTCTTCCAATATATGTAGATTTTTCTCCTTATAAACGACGACTCGAAGCTCCCAATGCCTCCCAACGGCCCTAATTAAAAAGAAATGTCGACTACACATCCGCACGTGCTTTCTGAAAGGGTAAATGGATAGTTAAATGGTAGTTTAGTTTCTGCTTTCAAACCAAACTTTGAAAATGAACGAAAGTAAAACCTGTTCCAAGAGGAAATGAAGCCATTGATTCACGTGTGATGTGTTGGAAATTTAAGGTAGCGATGCAGTGGAATTCCATTATTATACCTGAACATAAATTTACAGGTTCAGATGGCTTCTCGGTTATTATGGATTCGGATGGCTTTGCAGTTATTACATGTTTCTGTATATTGCACAAGATATATGTATTGATGTAAGGTACCTCACCAATCGTAGTCTACATGACATCATCCTCAATTTTTTTTCTAAATCAATCGAAAGCTTTGAGAACCACCGACATCCACCTTGAATATCTGTTGTAAATGGTCGAAATAAAGTCTTTGTGAACCTTACACTGTAAGTCAGACGTCGTACGATTTAAAGCGCAGTAGCACCTGTAAATTAATGCTCAAACATCATCACAGTGCAATGATGCAATGCAGAAATTACAGTGTGTGTTATAGTTTCTTTGAAATTTAAATTTTTCACCCTTGTGAAACCTATGAGCAGTGATTTGCAGTGACATTATTTAAACCAATATCTTTTGAGGTTGCAGCGAAGGGATGCACTGAGGAAGAATCAAACGGTCTGGAGAATTTATCAGCAAAATTGGGAAGTGGATCACAAACGCGAAATCGAGCTGGTGAAAATTGATCATAAATGCATAATCAGAGTGATGAAAACAGATGGAAATCATGGGGGAAAATATCATTCGATTTCGAGGGCCAAAGTCCTAATGGACAATGGTTGACACTGTATAAAGGCGCTTAGAGTTTATTTACGTTTATATTTTGTGTACCCACTTTTTAACACGATGGGTGTAGATATCAAATGCGTGTGGGAGTGTGTTTCACAAAGCTAAACGTGTACTATGGGAGAGCGTTTAGTATTAAAACTATTGTTTAGTATGGTATAGATTTTTAAGAAGCTACCTTGTCGATGGGGAAAAATCACCTCTAAAATGATGAGGTCCCGATAAAGTGATTAACACAACAATCGTTAACTCAAATACAGTGAACTCATCACAACACAAGCAACAATTTGTAAGCTTCACGTTAGTGCGGTGTTCCAGAAGTTACTAAAGTTAAATCTTGCTTCCCTCTTTTTTCTGTCCAATACACAGTAGAAATATGCTTTTACTGTCTGGGTCGGCCAAACTGTTTTCCATGCGATCGACCATCCGCAGAACCGTCATTACAACAGCTTTATTGAAAGCAGAGATATACTACCGTGTTTCAGTGGGAAAACACTTAATCCTAAATATAAATTAAACTCAAAAACAGCAAACAACTCATGCGAGGCTGAAGTGAGTTTTGCTAATTTGTAATTTTGTAAGTACTTCAGTGAGTAATTCAATAAAGCTTTGGTGGGCAATTTCTTACTGTAGGCGTGATATCATTTCCAAGCAGCTTGCAGCCTTGTCATATTGTGGTACTGGTTTGTGAATTTTATGTATCAAAATATCAGCTTACCCATTATGCTTGTCTAGATCTCTTCCAGAGCGGTCCTGTAACCGGCAAAATAAGTACTCTAACATGAAATGATTCCTGTCATTTACAGTCCTTCAAAGGCGAAGTACGTCATAATTCTTCATGCAACCTCGCCCCCGTGGCGTCAAACATGGTGATCAACACGACAAACTGCTTTCTTGCTCTGGGATGGAAGAAGAAATTAGTGATGCGAGGGTTCGCAAACTGGTCGAAATACGCAAGCGCAATAAACTGTCACTTGACCAACCTGTATGACTGCCTGGCAAATATTCACACAACACCCTTGGTACCTATATAGGCTTGAGTAAATTAAAATAGTATCCTCCAGTTTTGCAGAAAATTTCCCCTTTTCCCCAATTCGTGACTCTGGCGATTCGTTTTTCAGGGAAGTCCGAAGTTCAAAGGGAAAGCCACAAAGAGACATGAGCACCAGTACAGAATGTTTAGAAAAGCACAAGGTATATCCCCACATCACTATTGATGTATATAAAAAGAAAAGTCACTGCAGCGCTGCCGGTTGTAGCCTAAATAAAACTCCTAGGCATAATTATTCGATTAGATGTCGTAACTGCAGTGGAGGTGCACAAGTAAGCTTGACACGCGTGTGCATTTGGCAAATCACGACACTTTATTGGTCGGAGAGGCATGTAACGCGTGTGTATCACTGTCCACGAGCGTTGTGCTACCACACTGAGTAAAAAATGGCTTAGTATTCATCCTGTAAGTGTGAAATCACTTCAATTTAAACCACGCCCACTACCGTACCCATACACTGCGAGTTTACATGCACAGATCGCCGTTTACGTGGACGTTGAACCATGGAATCGGAAGTTAACGCGTAACTTCAGCGATCGTCCAATGGGAGGCTCCAAATTCTGGGGGGGTCCACCTGTGTGACGAAGTCACATACGAACCGGATTTGCAAAATGGGAACGGGCCAAACCCTGATCCAAAAGTGGGGGCCTGATGCTTTCATCCTAATATCGTGTTTGGTACTTCAGTAATACTGTGTGATTAAACGGAAATCTACGACTGCAAAATATAAAAAGAAATAACTAAAATCATCCGGCATTTTCTGTAAAAGAGCAATGAGTTTCAGCATTCATGAGGGACATCATATTTTTAGTCATGAATTTAGAGATTTGCATTAACATAGAAATTTAAAAGCTTTTCCAACTCATGCAACAAAGGTTCTTGCATTATGTTTGTTGGTTGGGTTTTATTTCAGTGCTACGAACGACACTTGCGGTAGTCTTTGTACCTCGCGGAAACTTCGTACTGTGTTGTCTAAGTGCACCAATTCCCACAGACATCAATGATAAATCCTTTTATTTCAAAACTATTTTAAATACAACTCTCATCAGGCACAGGTATCCAAGCTGAACAGCAAAATGATGCTCGAAATGAATGCCCTCTTTCGTTTTTCTTTCAATTTTTAGTGGGTTGACGGATGAATTTTTGAGAAATTCTTACCCAAAAGAGACAACCCCGAAAATGAAGGAAATTTCACTGCCCGGAAAAGTAGCCGTTTTGAAAATGCATCCCTCTGCAAAATGGCTAACTAGTGCCACTTTCAGACCCACTTGCATCCAAATTGCTCGGAATTGGAAGCCCTGGGTACAGGCCAGAGGTTCAATGCCCTATTTTTTTCAATTTTCCAATTCCATGGACCTCAGGACTCTCTAATATAGAATATTTTGAGTACAACTTTTAGTAATGTGCTCAGCAGACATATTTCTGGCCTACTTGCGGGGGTGCACCCTAATTCCCTTTGAGAAAAACGCAACGGTAGATAGGTTTCCGTCTACTTTCTTGCAGAGGTGGCAGCAAGTCATTTTTGCAAGTCAAGTCAAGTAACAAATCAAGTCACAAGTCACAAAACTTGAATAGCGACTCGAGTCCAAGTCACATGACTCGAGCCAGCAACTCTGCTTTCTTTCACCACCATAACCAGTAGGCTGCATTGGACACACTAACTACTAGACCACTAGTCTACAGCGAAACGATGAATCTCGGACTTTATTTCCCTTTTAAAAAATCTTCCAAGCGAAGAAAAGACCAAAACAGAAAAGGAAAACATGTAAGCCCCTATGAAAAGTAAACATATGATATGATTGAGGGAGAGAAAAAACGAGCTATGTCGTGATTGCAAAACGGCGTGCGTGCCGATTAGATAAGAAATGTAAAACATATGCAATGCTAGTATAGCGCGATCCTACAGAAGTTGGAAATCGCAATACGGTTGCCGTAACTATAGCCACCTCGAATCCTCTTGGCATGAGGAACCTCGATGGGGGAACAAGTTCGGGCCGTTTTCCAATATTCGACTTGGGCTCCATAAGGCTTCACCTATTTTTTTACTTCCTGACTTTGAGGTTTTAAAAGCAATGGTAAGTCCTACATAGTGTCACAAAACATCAAATAAGATGCAAAACATTAGATTACTTAAATTTAAGTTTAACGCTTCAGGCTCACAATCGCGGATTGGTCTCCTACACGAAGCCTCCGTGGAGACGAAGTTGGGTATTGGAAAAAGGCCTCGATGTCGCTGCTAGGTCCAATGGCTTTAGAGAGGGCGTCCGTAAGTAGCCGCAGCCGTAAATCTAATGCAGCCGTAAAACGTCCATTGTTTTGTTTTGTCGTACGACTGACTGTCACGGGACTGCCTCAGACAAGACAAGCATTGGTAGTTAATAACTAAAATGTTAGGTAATGTAAACATTAATAAATCTTCACAAGCTGAACATAGCACAATCCAAGTAACTTGATCATGCTTGGACCGTGGAGGAGGAGTCCCCTCTAAATTCATGAAATTAGAGGGGATTCCTCGTCGAGCTAGGCCTACTCGGAGTCTAGTACTAGTAGTACTAGTATTTGGACTGTCCATGTGACTTGTGAGCGTTGGAGTTACAGAAGTGCACAGCATGCGCACTGCAGCATCTCGGTTCAAGAACGGAGTAACACTATCACAGTTTTTAGAAGAGTTTCATATACGGACGCCAGTCAGAAAGCAAAAACATGTCCAGAAAAGTTCAATTTAAGAAGAAAAATATGTTGTACTTTTTACGTAGAAAACACTTCAAATTTTCCGACTAGTCCAGTAGGGGTTGTGCACGAGGTATCAAACGGTGTCCATATGTGAAACTCTTTCCACAGTTTTTACAGGCGTCCAATTTTCGAAAGAATTTCATGACATGATTAAATTTGTCAATTATCATTATGGTTAAGGTTAACCATGTTAAATTACGTGCACATCTACAAAATCATGTGAATCAATTTCGTTTATTTCTCCACATAACAATATGGTAAATATCACAGATTTACAACTATACATGTAAATGTGGATGGTTAAGGTTAACCATGTTAAATTACGTGCACATCTACAAAATCATGTGAATCAATTTCGTTTATTTCTCCACATAACAATACGGTAAATATCACAGATTTACAACTATACATGTAAATGTGGATGGGGCCTCTAAAAAGCAGAGCTTGTCTAGTCGTGGCCCGCAGAAATTTAATAAGATAACTACAAACATGTATATGTAGTCATAGCGGAAATTACAAGGGACAAAACGTAAACCAGTAAAACCTGTTAATGGATGATTAATTTACAGGTAATTATTTTGTAAGTGATTTTAAATTTGTGTTTGAATAGGGATAGACTGCAAATGTTTTTAACCAGAGATCCAGTGGGTTCCATTGTTTAGGGCCTTCATGCCCAACTGTACTAGCAGCAAGCTTGAGTACATGAAGAAATGTGGTGGTAGTCTGAACATTGTCTAGTAAAGTGCTGATGAATATTCACATTTTTGTGAACATTGAGCAGATATATTTGAGGAATTTGGAATTACGTATATTAAGTCGATGCATTATCGTAGCTAGTTGGAATTAGTAAATATCACCAATTTTCAACACTTTACATTTATAAAAAAGAGGATCACAATGTTCATAAAGCGTTGCTGAATAAATTATTTGCAAAACCCTTTTTTTGAAATTTAAGTACTGTATTTATCAGGCCAGTTCCACAGTGGCCCCATGCAAGTTCCACAGTGGCCCCATGCCAATTCCACAGTGGCCCCATGCAAGTTCCACAGTGGCCCCATGCAAGTATTCCATATGTTAAGCAGGGTAATGCTAAAGTGTTATATAAAGTCCCCCAAGGGTGTATGTAAAATCGTATTGAAATTGGAGGATTTGTGACTGTTAGGGTTAAAATATCAGATGGAAGACAATGTCTCAACTTACAAATTGATGCAATGTTTCTTGATTCAACAGAACATATGCAGGTAATATGTTTTTTCCAGGAAAGGTTATTATTGATATAAAGTCCCAGTCAGTCTGGCTGACTATTGTTTTTTTTATAATTGGGTGCTTCTTTCTACAAAATATGATAAAATTAGTTTTCTTTAAGTTAAGAGATAGTTTGTTTGCTTTAGTCCAGGTTGACACTTTGCATATGCACTTTGCACGTATATGTAGTTCATAACTGACAACATTAGAAAGTGTATGGTCTTGACTGTGAAACAGGTTGCAGTCATCGGCAAAGAGAATGAACGGAAGTAAATCAGAGGATTTTTCAAGATCATTAATATACACACTGAATAGGAGCCAAACAAGTACATGTACGTGAACTATCAGATTAACTGCAAAGTGTAACTTGTAAGGTTTATACAAACCTTCCAGATGTACGTATGCAAACTCGCATAAGCACATTGTCGCTGTTGCGATTGTGCCAGTTTACTCTGCCATCAAAGATATTTGTGCAACAAAATTTATGTATCACATCCTCCTTGGTGAGGTTAGATGTCTACTTTAGAGGTTAATTATTCAACCTTAGCCTATCTCATTAAAATGGTGAAATTCATGATTATTTTATCCATCCACGCCACAGAAAATCTGCAGCATGTACTCACTCCGTCATTGAAAGCAGCACGATAGTTTTGTCAATCGCAACACAGCTCCTGTCTTTTCCTTGTTGTTTTCCTGTCACCCGCAGATGAAAGCTGTGCTATGATTGGTCACTGGAATAATTCTTGGGCCAATCATAGTGCAGCTTTCATCTGAGGGCGACAATTAAAGTTGGAGATTTTGCACAGGTCCGACTGGTAGTGTTAGCACAACGTGATCATGGTGATCGTGCAATCATGCCGATTGACCAGTCAATCCCAACCATGCCAACAAAGACTATGATGACAATGATGCATGTAACAGTGACCATGCCATGTTGGAGCTTTCAAATCCCCAATTTTTTTAGAACTGTTTGTTCTCTCAAATATACCATTGTTAATGCAGGTGTGTTTGTGAATTAAGTCTCCTTGAGCGTATGCAGCAAGGTATGAGACGGAGAGAACCCCCCCTGCTTTGTGTTGGTCATTGTCTCGCAGGAATCTGGGGAATTCCTTTCAGACATCTTGGGGGGATGTGTTAAGTAACAATAGTCTGGAATGTGTATAGGGACT